ACTTAGGGGAACAACAGACTTGTACTATACCACCCTTGTATGTCCTTTCTAAGTCCAAAGGCACCTTCATTATCACTTCAGAGGACCCTAAACTCATTTTAAGTGTAAGCAATGTACTCATCTGTGCCATAAAAAGCAATATAAAGTATTTACAGCCAACAAATGACATCAGCTAGATGTCGAGTCCCTGAGGAATACAGTAAGCAGCTAAGGCCTTAAAATTAAAATCAAAACAATTCCTAACACAAGTATAATCTTATCCCAAACTCTACTTTTAACTGTAGGTAGGAAATTAAGCAAAAGAGTGAAATGAAACACTGGCACTGACACTAGATTCCTTCCAAAAATGTGCAATGTGCACAGATGAAATTTTTCATCCTCCAGCCCTAACCTGCTGTAACTCTGTTCTTATGGGACTCATCCAAGGGACGGGAGCGAATGCAAGACGCTCTTACCGGCAGCAGCCTCCTTCCCAAAATGCCTGCAACAGGATGTGCATATCTTGAAGATTTGCTCTCTAAAACCTTTTTGCAGCTCCCACGGACCCCAGAATGACGTCAGAACTTGGATTTCTTAGATTTCCCCATCTCTATCACTCTCTTAAGTACACTTGGTCCATACGTCCTCCCGGCAAAGGGGAATGTCAAAGATCATGAGCGTCATGACTTACTGCCTCCGAAAGCCCTGATAACACCACATATTTTGATGCTTGAAACCAGAGCCAAGCTTCATCACAGCCAGAGATGAATCCCTGCATAAAAATAAAATACACGGCTGCAGTGCATCCTGTCCACGCCTGCTGGTTCTTGAAGATGTGGATGCCTAAATGTTAACTCCCTAAATCCAGATTTTCCTTTTAATATAAGTTCCTAGCCATACTCAACACCTCCTGTTTACCTAGTCTTTGAGATATAAAAACTAAAACTCTAACTATATATTGCTTTATATTATATATACACACATACCATATATATACCCACACATAGATATACAAAAGTATATAGAACTTATATGTACTACATACTTCTTATATGAAGTATATATACATATAGTTTGAACAGGACTACTTCTTACTGCAAATGGAAGAAGTGGGCCCTTCCAGACACCTCTGTCACATTGAAGCCAACAAGGCAGAATCACTGGGGAGCCTTATAATCTCACCTTAATAAAACCCTTACAACCCTTAACTTTCACCTGAGCTCTTGAAGATCCATCACTCCAAAGCCTGATCCCAATCTTAACAAACCTGATCCCAACCTCTGTCTCAGATACAGAGAAAAATCTGTAGCATAAAACAAAACATATGCCTGGATTCTCACTGACACTATCCGTCCTGCTCATTCCATGCACGCTCTGAATTCCAGAGAAGCCATCGAGCCTTTGACTTGTAGATCCGCAGCCCTCATCCTGAAGTAAACCCTACAGTGAAAAGGGATTGCTTAGAGGAGGTGAGGAATCAGGTCCCTCTCAGGACCACTCGTGCTTCCAAATTTCAACGGCCTTGAGAAACAGGTAATAAAGTTTTGGATTTCTAAAGCCTGTTTCAGTTCTAGCCTCAGGCTTAATTAAAAATTCCCAGTCCATGAAATTTATTCTTACATTTGATGCGGATATCTGTCTTATTCTATATAAACTTCACACGTAGAGTCCCTAGCAACATTTTTAATGGATTGTATGGAATTGCAAGAGTGAACCAAAAAAAAAAAAAAAGGCATTTTTCTTCCCAGAGTTGAATGACTGGCAGATCTAAGCACTGAAAACTTCAGATGAGTAATGCAGACTTATTAAAAACTATCAAAGATCAAAAACAGCTGTACAACAGAGAAAGTGGCAACTTACCCAAACTTTCTCTTCTAAAATATCAATATACAGTATTCAGTACTGCCAAGGGAGTAGCTCATATAGGAAATTACTCTTTGTCCTTGGAGACCTTCTTGCCGAATTCAAATCAGAAGTGTTACTGCTCATTTCTGACTGTGCAGTCAAACAGCAGCACGAATAAAAAAGGTCCAAACAAGAAAAAAAAATATTCTCAAAGAAGTACAAATTACAAAATATCTCTATGCGATAGAGGTGAAAGCTTGAGAAAAGATATGATTTTTTATAGTAACACAAATGTGATGTCTAAGTATTAAGCAGAATTTCTCTCCCAAGAATTACTGTTATGTTATACAGACATATATAAACATCCTTTGCTTTGGGATTTACAACCTTCTCCTACCTCTTGTGTTTTTTTCCTGTTCATTTCCTTATTCTTACCCTTGTGTGGCATCCTCCACGGTAATCAAGTCAGAGGTGAAAAATGTTTCTTCCTCTCCTTCAACCTCCTGATTTCTTTCTGCTATGATTCCCTGTGGAAGTTGGTCTGTAAGAGAACAGCATAGTATTTAATTCGTTTTGTGATGCATTTTTCTCAGGCAGTAGTCACTTTTTAACCAGCATGAGCACAGGCAGACCCAAAATTGTAACCCCTTCACTAAAATTATGGCGGGGTGGAGAGGGGGGTAATAATTTCAGACAATTCATGAAAGTTGAGCATTTCTGATTTAGTCAGGTCTTCTTTGACCCGACAAGGTTTCTCTCATCTGCTGCTTCCTGCTGCAGAAGTCATCCCATTACTGCTAATAATTTTATAAATCATAGAAATAAGTGGCATTGTCATTTCTCTGTCCTGAAAGCCAGTGTAAGGCTCTTCACAGCTACTACTTTACTCCTCTAACCTGCAAATACAAGGCAGGGAGGGCTGCAGGGAGGGACAGGACTGATGGCAAGATTCAGAGCCGGGAAATTTCCTTCAGTCAATTACCGGACATGTCAGAAAAACGAAGTGTCAGCCCCCATTCCCGCAGCCTCACACGAGGGCTTTTTGCCTCCTCTACCTCATTCTCCTTCCTCAGCCAAACAGCAAGGCAGCTTGGCAGGAAAACAGCGGCCCGGCAGGCTCCGGTTGCGAAATCCTCTCCGCGCTCGTGTGCTGCAAGGCCCAAGGCCCTTCCGGCCAGGCAAGAACTTAATGCACATGGAAAGCAAAGCAACGTGGTCCTACCAAACGAGCACATCCAGAAGGCAATAAATGAAGCAGCTACTCACAGGTGTCATGTTATAAGTTGTAGGAATTCTGCTACTTGTCTAGAAAACCCACCTCACCAGATGGATCCTATGCAGCTATCCTAAATTCCTCTCTTTACAAGTCTTCAGGTGTCTGCAGATGGGTAACTTTTCTCCTTCCCCCACAAAACATACCGTTTCTCTATCAAGCTTAATGTCATATGAAGTCCACTATGAATTGAAGCTATCGTTAGAGGTAGGAAAGGCAAGACACAAATACAAATAAAACGTACAAATACTTCTTTACCCCAAGTAAATGCTATAAAGCCTCCCTGCCTCAGGTTTCCTTTCCTGAAGGGGACAGGGCCAGCAGGACACAGAGTGTGTGATAATATATAAATTACAAAGCTATTTTAGCATAAAAAATACTAAAGCTGTGCAAGACACATTGGTCCAGGAAAGGAAAGCATCCAATCACATGTCTAAAGCTGTTCCTTCTCAGAGATGACTACGCTTTTAAGAGACTTAAGCTCAGGCTTAGGTGCTTTCCTTAACTGGGGTCAGCGTGTTTGGGACCATATTTATTCTTTCAGGAAAATGAATTTACTTTAGAATTTAGGTAATGCCACAAGACAGATGTACCCAAGTTCCCTGCCCTCTAAGTTACTTCTAACTAAAGACCAAAGTCAGGACCACTGAAGTTTCAAAGCAGCCCTCCAGTAGCCATCAATAGCTCTGAAGGGGTCCCAAGTACTGTGCCAGGATAGATAAATACAGAGACTTTTAAAATAATTCAAGTCTCTTCCATCCATTCTACTTTATTATAGATTTTCTAACCTGGAGATTGGACCAAATTCTAGATTTTTAACCAAAACCTTGGCAAAAATTCCATTCAGTTCAATGGAAAGTTACACATGCTCAGCCTAGAAACAGTGAATTATTTTGATTGCATGAGTTTTGGAGGAGAAATGCTATCAGTGGCAGATACTACTGCATAATTTTAGGCTACTGTCTCCTAAGCTTCATTTGACAGGAAAGAAAATACATTCATCATTTTGCCGATAATGATATATGTTTTTTTTTTTTTGCTATGCAATATCTAATGCCTTCCAGATGCCCTCAGTATTTGGGACAAATTGTTCATTTCACTCAGAAGTTAAAATGTGTTTTGACTGGTAAGCCTCTATTTAGCCCTTTTCTGTAATCGTTTTTCTTAATGGGAGTATTTTCCAGATGTTGTGTCAGTCTAGTCATCTGGGACCTCTTCCAGCTCAAGTGGAAAGTTTGTTGTCATAAGCTGTCACTGGCGGTTTTGTCTAACAAGCGATTTCATTAATTAACCCCAGCGCAGTTATAAAGAGATATATAAGGCATCGGAAGCAGCACTGACAGCAGACACATCCTCTGTCAGGTAAGTGCAGCATCTACCTCTGCTCCGGCTATTTAGATTGCAGCACTGCTTTTCATAAGGAAGATGACAGTCTATGGCACGAAAAAGTCAAGTTTTCCTTTAGAAAGAAGGTTTGCTTTTATCCTGCATTTGCTTTGGACCTGTTTAAATAGCTAACACTCAGATGACAGACTATGGCTTATAGTTAATGGTGCTTAACTACTGCTCTGACAGTAGATTTTTAAATTCTCAGAGTTATACTTATCAAGAAATGGTTGTACTGAAGTCATGTTAAATATATATATTGACTGTGGATTTCCCCTAACAGAGTCCTGGAAAGAAATATTCCCCTTATTTGTCAGTATTTTCCTAGTCTTGTCACAAAATTTAATAACTAATCCACTAATAAGACAGACAGGATTCATGGAGTCATTCTAAATTAGCAGCTTCTCATTGAATAGTTTCAAGAAGCAGCTCAGGCTATTCAGACTGTTAGCAAGATATGTATTTTGTAATTTTTTTGGAAAACTGTGACCTGACGGATGGATTTGGAAGCAGGAGGATGTCGTACCTGAGAGAAGCAACCCTCTGCCACGTGCTTTGCCTGGGCCTGCTCATCCTTTCGGTGGCCTTGGTGCGAGAAGCAGCCTCTGAAGGTACCGTAGCACGCGGCGCTCGCCGAGCATCTGTGACGCGGGGCGGGAATGTTTTGCAAAAATACAGAATTCCGGAATTTTGTAGTACTCTCTCAAACAGGTGATATGATTCCATATTCTAATCATGGAATACTTTCTAAAATACATTGGCGTCCTCTTTTTTGGTGGCAGAACATATGAATACAATGCAGAATGCAGATGTATGCTTGACATATTTAGCCCAGGCAATTGCCAACATGCATTATCTGTAATTACAATACTTACCTAATTTGGTTAGAAATACTTAAATACAATGGGCTCAGGGCAAGAAATGGACACACCTTGCTAAATATGTTCCTTGCCACTAAATATATCATTATGACCACCACAGAGGCCGATTTTGGCAATTATTTCCATGTGCTACAGATTCTTATTTACTCTCAGAACTCAGTGATTGACTTGTAGCAATTTTAGGCACCTACAGAGGAACCCGCAGCACAGCAAGTCCTTTCCTATCACAATTCTCAGATACCTCTAATGTTGTTATAATGACAACATGGTAAAGTGCTTGCTGGCAGAATATGATTTCTAAGTATTTGGTAGTGAAAAAATGGATTTGGATACCCAGGCAGCTCCCAGCAGCACAGTAAATGCCAGATAGCATCAAAGCCATTATGACCATCAGGGCTTTTTCCTTAGAAGTGGCTCTGTAACTTCATTGCAACATTGGGTACAAACTTGGGGTGCAAAATACTGAGCATATACTAAGCAGCTTCTCTTCACAGCTCGTTGTTGAGAGCCTCTTAAATCCATTAACTTCAGGGTAACATTTATTCACTATTTGTAAAGAACCACTAGTCTCAAATCCATTAACTTCAGGGTATTCACTATTTGTAAAGAACCACTAGTGAATAAATGAACTAATATAGATATAAGTAAATGGAGGAAACTATTCACGGGTTTACCTGTGTTCACCTAGTATTACAAGGTCTACACATTGGGAGAAATTACTGTGTCTTTGGTGTTGTGTTACATGTTATTTCTTGTTGTTGGCGTTGCTCAGTGTCTCAGCTGGTTATGTGAAGCCTTTTTAGCTTGCTGGTTGTTCAGTGTCTGCGTGTGTGCTCGGGGACACCTCATTCACTTGGTGTCCTGCAGGAGAAGCTGCGAGGACACTGGCAGAGACTTCCCATAACAGGGAGAGTCACTACTACTCCGATTACTTGCTCAGGCATCTTGGCTATCATGTATATTGCCCAAGCTGATTCTGACCAGTTTGGATCAATTTGTTATCCACATTCAGGGCAGAACTTATGAGCAATTTCTCAAAAATTTATCAAAACGGAGAGCAAAAATCCATAGTGTCATACACATAGTGTTAAATATAAAGTTCTGCAAAACTTTCTGCTGGAGCCAAAAATTTATTTATATTAGATAAGAAATAGGAGTTTTAATGAGCATGAAGGCAGCATATGATGATGACAGGCTATAAAATACATATGGTACTAAGTCATATTGAACAGACTGATTTAATATAGTACCTTTAGCTTAGTGTTTGTACTTACAGTTAGGGAAAATCAAATGATGTTACAAGTATCCAAGTCCTTGCACGCGTGTATGCGCTTCGCGACGCGAGCAGGGCGATGCCGCTCTCCTCAGTTTTTCATTTACTAATGGAAAGGGAAACAAACAAACATTAAGAATAGCTTTGCATTTATTTTAGATGCAGCACCCTGATGACACCTCCAGGTTTCCTTAACCTCTAGCATTTTTTCCCCCTAATATCCCAAACCAGACCTCAGAGCTCAAACCTGGAACACTGGGGTGGCTGAGGTCTGCTCCCCTGTCCTAATCCAGCCTAAATGAGTCAATGATAAATGACCTTTGACTTGTGGAAGCAGGAGAACCTTTCTGTCTTTAAGCTCAAACACTGGGAAAATAAGTTCTACAAGTCATAGCTGATCCTGGTTGTGTTGATTGCATGAAAGCTTTGAAGACATCCATTCTTTTGATTGGAAACGTTTTGACTTCCTGATCATATCTAAGCCCCCAAATCAGGGCCAACCTCATTCTCATCAAAGATGGGAAATCCTTGGCCTGCCTGCCAGACTTTGGGGGGTTTGACCTGGTCCCTTAGTTTCTTTTACATTGATTGAATAAGTGCAATTATTTAGAGGGAAAAAGGAAAAGACAGATGGGTCTTACCACAGTGGCATTCAATGTCTCCGTGCACGTCGTCCAGGCCTGGCCATGTTTACGCTGGTGTTGTATGATTTTAGATTTATCAAGCTGTACAGGGAGATGTGGGGAAGGGTTTTCTAGAGAGAGAGCCTGCCAGTGTGACTATAGCTGCCAACGCTTCAAGGAATGCTGCCCTGACTTCGGGAAGGTCTGCGCGCCGGGTAAGTGCCCCAACGCGCCTCGAGACACCGGCCCCTTCGCTTCACCGCCCCGGCTCGCGCCTTGCTCCACCTCAGCCTCGCGCTCCTGCTGCCTGCTCCTCCTTGCCACGTCTGTGCTGTGTCCGTCTGTCTTTTGTATGAGGAAAAAAAAATAATAAGCAAAAATCAGGCATAAATCAGGATTTTTCAGAGAGAAATTTGGGGACATCTCCAGAGAAATTCTGGGGCAAGTTCAAGCTTTTGAGGGAGGTGGAGGCGGTGGGATTTGACCCAAGGTCAGAAGGAGTCAGGCACAGTGTGGCCATTGGCAGAACCCAGCTCTGAATAAGAGCCTCATCAGTTCCAGAACCAAAGTCATTTATTGATAATAATGGGAAATACTGCCAATTGATTGCTATTTCAATATGGTCAAAAACAAACAAAACTGGAAAAGATATACAAAGAAAAAAATATATAATTTTGGTGCTGAAACCCCTACAGATAGTTAAAGTTTATACTATATGGTTTGATGTAGAACAAGGTTTTTTTATATGCTTTATTTATATGCAATTTAAGACTGCACAGTATAAATAAATTCTGTATGAAAATACAGATATTTCCAAGTGTTTATCTAGTGCATCTTATTATGAATTACCAGTGTCAAAAATATTAGTGACTTGGGTAACTAATGCTTGTTACAAAGCCCTGTAGTTCCAGGGAACTTAAAGTCCTAGGCTAAGGCTCATTAGGTCCAGTAATAAAAGATGAACATTGCTTAAAACATAGGTGCAGCAATACTGTAAATGCTAAATCTGCCCCCTCAGCCAACACCTGCGCTTCGCTCTTCTCGGTCATTGCAGGAATATCAGACATCATTTCTAAAGGCAAACGACCCCATTACAAAGTAAAATAGTTCTTGTCTTGCACTTGGAGCCACTCTGCTCAAAAGGTGTTCAGGACATGCCTGCACAATAATTCTAATATCACCATATAATTATTCGTCAAGTGCTATTTTAAGCTCTGAATGCCACCAAAATAACAACTTTAGCATGAGATTCACACACACAAAGGCTTTAGGACAAGAATAACTGATCACAAAATTCTGCAAATACCCCATGACAGCTAATTCTTAGCTCAGTTCTGTAAGAGGCAAAGCACCCTCAAGAAAGATCAATTTCAGACCTAGTTAATTGCATCAGTTTAACACAACTATAATAAACACCTAATTAAGGTATTATTGAATATCAATAAATATAAATGTTTATATAAACATGTTTGTATATGTGTATATACTTATATATGTAAAAATATATATATATATATATTTAAAAAGCAGAAACATCATAGCTATTGAAACTATTAGAAGTTAATCACTAGTGAAATATTAAAAGCATATTGTTACAAGCTTTATGTCAAAATATATCAGGTATTATTAATCTAACATTAATAATTCAAGAGCCATACCAAATGGGGATAATATTTCAACAGAGTCACTTTAATATGCACAGCTATCCATCTGCACAATGTGCACACAGGGTACACTGAGGCACATCTATTTTGGCAAATTCTCTTTCACGAGTAGGTGTGTAGACACATCACTGCTGATGCAAAGCAGCATCGGGATGAAGATCTTATCCAAAATCTGGCCCAAAATTACTTTCTGAATTTTTAAAATTGCTGATAAAAACAAACAAACAAAAACACACCACACAATTTAAGTTCTGTTCTTGAAGATAACTGCTACCTGATCAGGGAAATTTAAGTCTTCTATGGTGGGACCTTTCTAAGGTGAACTCCAAGGTCACACTTGTGACCACTGTGGTTGCAGCTCCGGTTACATGGTCTGACCCCAAACCCAATTACTTGAACAGACCGGAAAACCCGTCCACCTTCACGAAGCTGCTCTGCAGATGAGGCTGAGCCTGTGGCTTCACCTTGGCCAGGTCCCCGTGCCCGGGTGAGTCACCGAGCGCTAACCGCGTGCCCTGCCTTCCACAGCGCTCTCCTGTAGCGGACGGTGCTTTGAAGCCTTTGAGAGAGGAAGAGCCTGTGACTGCGATGCTGATTGTGAGAGATACGGCAAGTGCTGCCCTGACTATGCAAAGCATTGCAAAGAGGGTAAGAGACACTCCTTCATCCCTGTGCTTTCCCTAGTTATGTTTAAATACGCATATGCAGCATTCTCAAGATATTACCCGTGCAGACTCAGCTTCTGGTATCACTCATGTTAGTTCCAAAATCAATATGGCATAAAATTCAACCAACCTTATTTTTGCTAGCACATCCCCAGCGTGAAAGCCTCAAGTCTGGGAACCAGGAGGCAGAGACTAAGTAAATGTTTTCAGAATATCACAGATACTTTGCACTATTTGCTGGTCTTACCAGCCTCTACCTGACCAGCACTCAGCACCAGGACCTGCCTGCAGAGTCATAAAATAGATCAAATTAGCCATTGAATAACAGCTGCAAATTCCAGAGTGAGCATTTGACTGCATCACACAGGTAGGGCTACCAGAAACCACCAGCAATATACCAACAAAAAAGCCCCCACAATATCAGTGGGGAAACATCAGTATTCCACTCTGTTCAGGGTATCCGAGGGTATCTTCAGTTTCTCCTCGAACTGAACCTGCTGGAAGTTAACTTAAAATTTAGATCTTGTGCTGCTTCCTTAGGCCATGCTTAAGTGGTGGCTTCCCTCTCTTCAAAAGGCAGCATTTTTTTTTTTTAAATAAAGTCTAATCATGTATGCACAGAATCATCAGATACATGAAAAACTACAATATAACTAATTCTTCAGAGGATTATCAAAGTAAATGCTCAGTTTGTTCTGGTGAAAAGCTCTCCCACCAACAGATGCTTTTATTTCTTCCAGCACATGCAACACAGCCACCACCCAAGACTTCTCCTCCAGGAAACAAATCGCCCTCTAAGCGCTCATCTCAAAATGAGGAGGAGAAGCCAAAGGAAGTAACACAACCCCCTGAAGTTGTGGAAGGTAGGAAAGAACAGGAATAAAACAGGATGGGTGTTACCTGAATGAATATGAAAGAACATTTTTTCCTGTTCTGGGTACAGGGAGCCAAAGCAAGACATTACCAGACACTTACCAAGCTTGGAAGCACTTGGTTTGTAAATGTATTACCTCATCTAGGGTCAGGAAAGACTCTACTGGCTTTGGAGAGTTCACTTGATGCAGATGTTGAAAGTGTGGTGTTGTCTCTTGGATCTCTATTGCATTTTCATGCCTATCTTTATAAAGAAAAGTTGCAGGTGACTGTCAGTTGTGGTGAAATCCACAGCTGAAACAGGAAGGGTATGCTGTTTCGGGCCAGTGACCCTCTGACAGAACCAAGACAGGAGGATGAAGCCAGGCTTCATGCAGCTTCAGAAAACACCCTCATATTATTTTTTTCCCTAATGGAAAACATGCTGTTTTCCAGTGTTCTTGATATTCCTCATTTTCTCAAGCTATCATTCAAACTGGGTTGCACTTGAACCCTGAAATAACAAGAAATTAGACTATTTGGCCTTTATTTTTTAACCCTTAAGAATTATTTTTAGACCTTGAAGTACTTGCCTAGCTGCTGCAACAGCTTCCTGTTACGAGATCAGCAAGAATCAAAATGGTAAAATGAAACAAAAACAAGGAAATGCAAATAACTTAATTGATTCCACTTGAACTATGGTATTTTAGACACATCAAGTAGGAATAAAAAGCTATTCTGTTATGCAGGGCTCTGCATGCAGTCAGGGCATGACCATTAGGATTAACTCAGACCTTCTGAGATTTTAGACACTTCGGCGATGCTGCCCTGCATTTCTTTCAGCTTTCCAAGAAAAACAAGTGTCAGTGCAGTTGTATTAGGAGACAGTAACACAGCAAAAGTCATAGGAGGAGGAAAAAAGAAAAGGCTATGTGAAAGCAGAACCAAACTGCAAAGATGTAGAGATAAAGCTTAGCAAAGGATTAAAATGTAGAAGCATTCACTTATTCTTAGAAGAGCTGTAGGAACAGTTCGGCTCAAATCAACATACCCATAAGTGACAGCCTTAAAGCAGAAACTATAAAAGGGAAAAATATCCAGGACACAAAGTCATAGTAGGAGCTGAAGGCAGGTATTTATATTCAGGAAGTTAATTTTTCACTTGTCGCTAACTCTCTTCCTCTCCTCAAGAGACAACATTCACTTATTCTTAGAAGAGCTGTAGGAACAGTTCGGCTCAAATCAACATACCCATAAGTGACAGCCTTAAAGCAGAAACTATAAAAGGGAAAAATATCCAGGACACAAAGTCATAGTAGGAGCTGAAGGCAGGTATTTATATTCAGGAAGTTAATTTTTCACTTGTCGCTAACTCTCTTCCTCTCCTCAAGAGACAACCACTGCAGCCACAACCACCACTGAGCCTCCCACCACCCCCAAGAACGAAGAGACAAACCACCACGGAGCCCCCTACCACCCCCAGGAAAGAGACAACCCCTGCAGCCATGACAACGCAACCTCCCACCACCCCTGACAATGAAGTGACAACCCCTGCAGCCGTGACAGAGCCTCCCACCACCTCTAAAAAAGAAGAAACAAGCCCTGCAGCAACAGAAGCAACAATAAGCAAGGCAGATGCTCCCACCACAGCTGAAACTGAGGACACCACTCCCATGGACCCTGAGGAAGCAACAACTGAAGCAGAAGCTCCAACCAGTCCAGAAAACGAAGACACTACTGCAGCAACCGAGGAGATAACAACAGAGAAAAACTCTCCCACTGACCTTGAAACAGAAGAGACTACTGCAGCCACTGAAACACCAGCAGCTGAGACAGATGCTCCTACCACTCCTGAAAACGAAGAGATGACCCCAGCGGCCACGGAGGTGCCCACGCCCATGGCCGAAGCCACCACCACCCCTGAAAGTAAAGAGTCCCCCCCAGCACCTACCGAGGCGCCCATGACCGCGGCCGAAGCCACCACCACCCCTGAAAGTAAAGAGTCCCCCCCAGCACCTACCGAGGCGCCCATGACCGCGGCCGAAGCCACCACCACCCCTGAAAGTAAAGAGTCCCCCCCAGCACCTACCGAGGCGCCCATGACCGCGGCCGAAGCCACCACCACCCCTGAAAGTAAAGAGTCCCCCCCAGCACCTACCGAGGCGCCCATGACCGCGGCCGAAGCCACCACCACCCCTGAAAGTAAAGAGTCCCCCCCAGCACCTACCGAGGCGCCCATGACCGCGGCCGAAGCCACCACCACCCCTGAAAGTAAAGAGTCCCCCCCAGCACCTACCGAGGCGCCCATGACCGCGGCCGAAGCCACCACCACCCCTGAAAGTAAAGAGTCCCCCCCAGCACCTACCGAGGCGCCCATGACCGCGGCCGAAGCCACCACCACCCCTGAAAGTAAAGAGTCCCCCCCAGCACCTACCGAGGCGCCCATGACCGCGGCCGAAGCCACCACCACCCCTGAAAGTAAAGAGTCCCCCCCAGCACCTACCGAGGCGCCCATGACCGCGGCCGAAGCCACCACCACCCCTGAAAGTAAAGAGTCCCCCCCAGCACCTACCGAGGCGCCCATGACCGCGGCCGAAGCCACCACCACCCCTGAAAGTAAAGAGTCCCCCCCAGCACCTACCGAGGCGCCCATGACCGCGGCCGAAGCCACCACCACCCCTGAAAGTAAAGAGTCCCCCCCAGCACCTACCGAGGCGCCCATGACCGCGGCCGAAGCCACCACCACCCCTGAAAGTAAAGAGTCCCCCCCAGCACCTACCGAGGCGCCCATGACCGCGGCCGAAGCCACCACCACCCCTGAAAGTAAAGAGTCCCCCCCAGCACCTACCGAGGCGCCCATGACCGCGGCCGAAGCCACCACCACCCCTGAAAGTAAAGAGTCCCCCCCAGCACCTACCGAGGCGCCCATGACCGCGGCCGAAGCCACCACCACCCCTGAAAGTAAAGAGTCCCCCCCAGCACCTACCGAGGCGCCCATGACCGCGGCCGAAGCCACCACCACCCCTGAAAGTAAAGAGTCCCCCCCAGCACCTACCGAGGCGCCCATGACCGCGGCCGAAGCCACCACCACCCCTGAAAGTAAAGAGTCCCCCCCAGCACCTACCGAGGCGCCCATGACCGCGGCCGAAGCCACCACCACCCCTGAAAGTAAAGAGTCCCCCCCAGCACCTACCGAGGCGCCCATGACCGCGGCCGAAGCCACCACCACCCCTGAAAGTAAAGAGTCCCCCCCAGCACCTACCGAGGCGCCCATGACCGCGGCCGAAGCCACCACCACCCCTGAAAGTAAAGAGTCCCCCCCAGCACCTACCGAGGCGCCCATGACCGCGGCCGAAGCCACCACCACCCCTGAAAGTAAAGAGTCCCCCCCAGCACCTACCGAGGCGCCCATGACCGCGGCCGAAGCCACCACCACCCCTGAAAGTAAAGAGTCCCCCCCAGCACCTACCGAGGCGCCCATGACCGCGGCCGAAGCCACCACCACCCCTGAAAGTAAAGAGTCCCCCCCAGCACCTACCGAGGCGCCCACGACCAAGGCAGATGCTCCCACTACCTTTAAAAATGAGGAGACCACCCCTGCACCCACTAAGGCAACCACCACCTTGGCAAATGCTCGTACCACTCCAAAAAGCAAGGAGACAACCCCCGCGGCTACTGAGGCACCCACAACCAAAGCTGATGCTCCCACTACTCCTAAAAGCAAAAAGACCACTCCTCCAGCCACTGAAGCCACTCCAAGACAGGCAGATTCTCCCACCACCCCTAAACACAAGGAAATGACCCCTGTACCCACTGAGGTAACTACAACCAAGGCAAAAGATACGACCCCTTCTAAAAAGAAAGAGACCGCTCCTACCACCACCAAGGCCACCACAACCACCAAGGCCACCACAACCACCAAGGCCACCACAACCACCAAGGCCACCACAGCCCTAAAAAAAGAAGAGACAACTGCACCCACTGATGCAACCACAACCAAAGCTGGTGCTCCCACTACTCCTAAAAGCAAAAAGACAACTCCTGCAGCCACTAAAGCCACTCCAACCCAGGCAGATCCCCCCACCACCCCCAAACACAAGGAAATGACCCCTGCACCCACTGAAATAACTACAACCAAGGCAAAAAATACAACTACTCCTAAAAAGACCACCCCTACAACCACCAAAGCAACCACAACCACCAAGGTAACCACAACCACCACCCCAAAAAGAGAAGAGCCAACTTCTGCAGCCACTGACGCAACCACAACAAAGGCAGATACTCTCACTACCCCTAAAACTAAGGGTACAACTCCTACAACCACCAAAGCAGCTAAAAAGATTACAACTCCTGCACCTAAAGTTACAACCACCCCATCTGCAGAAGACATGACTACAGCAAGACAGAACCAAGTGACAAAAACAGCTAAACCAATAGTATCCGAAGAGCCTCTTGTTTTTGATAAATCATATGAGGAAAGCACAGCAACCACCATGGCCACAACCTCAGCAGGTAAAGATACCACCACAAGAGCCAAAGAGACAGTAACAACTACTGCAGACCAAAAAGCCAGTACAACAGCTAAAACAGACAGGACTCCAGTAAGCAAAGAAATAGCAAGTAAAAAAGAAACCACCACAGTGAAAAAAGAGGTAACCATCACTACTGATAAGGAAACCACAACTCTTATCAAAGGTGCCACCACAGGCACGAAGGAAGGAGCTGATGGTACCACTAAAGAGGCAACAACATTTAACCAAAGAGAGGCCACCGCTGAAAAATCTCCTGCTACCACCACGGCAGATAGGAAAGTCACAGTAGAGGAAGCATTGGTCGTTCCCAAAGGGACAACCAAGCCAGTGGTGCCATCCAGCCCCCAAGCTCTGCCGGTAGCAGAGGAGCCTCAAAGAGACGTAAAGCCTTTGGTACAAGCCGGGGACGTCCTGGCGGGGATGGGGGGAACACAAGGCAACTGCTTCCCGCTAGGCACCAAGGCACCCGCGGCCCCCCCGGAGAGGCGCCCGGCAAGAGGTCCTGTGGGCAAGCGGCCCGCAAGGCCCTCCCGACCTGTGCCGAGACCCCACCGCGGCCACCCGGCTGCGGCTCCCGGCATCATCACTGTCGGTATATCGCTTTCTAACTGCCCACTCCCCAGATCTCCCAAGTCGTTTAGAGCATGGTCTTACTGCAGCGCTTAGCTGTGAGTGCAAGGGTAGTGCAAACAAAAAGGCCCAGGAGAAAGAGAGAACTTCCCCATCTCACAAATGGCCATGTTCACAGTATTTGATCTGGCCCTTTGTGATCATGTACATTTAAAAAGAAAGAAAAAAAAAGTTTTTTCCAAATTTTTTTCTTTTCCTTCTTCATGTTGTCATTATACATGCCCTTGCTATTTGTTTTAGTATGACATAGCTCCTAGGTTCTTCCTCAAGCATATACTGAGAGGTATGTTGTGAAGAAAGTCTCTTTATGTTTAGGGAAACAATGAAAACCACTGATTTGATCAAAACTTCCATCTTTTGTTCATATTTAACTGGAAGTAAACATATTTTTAAGAAAAATATTTTTAAGAAATAAGTGGGAGTGGGGAATCTACTGAGGAAGTCTGGAAAAAAACATCAAGAAACCATCAATAAACATGAAAAAAATAAATAGAAAATATAGCGCACAGTATCACTAAGTATGAGGAAACTAAATATAAAGAAATAGCCAATCAAATTACAGAGCATGAAAAAGAAAAACATGAAATATAGCACAAAGGCTACTTACAGGCTTACCTTTCTCTGATGTCAGGTGCTGAGGTAAATGGCTCATAACTGACTGCATCTGCCCCCAGCTCTGTAAATCCTTGATTTTTATAATCCTAAACTTTTCAATAATTTATCTCAAATGAGTAATGACATTATTTTCACCCAAGAATCAGATGGAGGCCTGAACCAGAATCCTAAACTAGGATTATTTTCCACATGTTTTTATACATTCAAGCCCCTGTAGGGCAAGGGAAAGGAAAAGGCATAATTTCGGTAAAAAATAAGACAAAAACAACACTTTTTTTTCAGCAAATATAAAAGAGGAAAAGAACCTGTGCAACGGGAAGCCAGCGGACAGCGTGGTGGCTCTGCAGAACGGGACGCTGGCGGTTTTCCGAGGTGAGGGGACGCACGGCCGCCTCGGCGCGGGCGGCGTGGAGCCCACCCGCCTCCGCGGTGCCACCTCCTGTCCCCGCAGGTCACTACTACTTCTCTTGGCTCGGGAACGGCCGGGGGCCCCCCACGACCGAGCCGCGCCGCATCGTCGACGGCTGGGGCGTCCCCTCGCCCATCGACACCGTCTTCTCCCGCTGTAACTGCGACGGCAAGACCTTCTTCATCAAGGTGGGCAGCGCTGCGCGCGCCCGGCTGCTCCTCCTCACACGCAGACTGCCGGCACCTGCTGCTCCTCGTGAGGCACCTCGTTAACAAACCACACCTGTGACTCCCCACTTAGTCCTGCCTCCCACCCGCCCCCACTAAAGTGCATAATTCAGATCAACTATGATCACCGAATTATTGTTATTTTTAGCTCTAAAGCTCCTCTTTTCCTTCAACCCTCAGGGTGCCCTTTACTGGCGCTTCACCAATGGTGTGATGGACGCTGGCTACCCCAAGCCCCTGGCCAGAGGCTTTGCCGGGCTAGGCGGGAAGATCATCGCAGCCCTGCCCGTGGCCAGGCACCACAACCGCCCCGAGTCCGTGTACTTCATCAAGAAAGGTAGGGCAGGAGGGCACAGGGGAGGAGGAAAACAGCCTTTCTCTAGACTGAGGGGTGCATTCCCTTCAGACACAGACCAGTCCTTTCCTTAATGCATCTGAAGGATGTACTATCCCCTAAGAATTGTTGTCCAGTTTAAGAAAAAAATGTACATAAATATAAATATTCATACAAGAAATGGGTACAGAAAAACTGCTTTGAGACAACAGTAGAGGCATTAAAATGATGCTCTTCTCCTCACGTCAGCGATGACATCTTCACTTCCACATTAGCATTTTAACTTTTTTTTTTTTTTTTTTGAAAGGTGGCAGAATACAACAATACATATACAAACAAGAACCAGTCAAGGCTTGCAGAAACAAACCCCAGGTTGCCATAAAATACCCAGCTTATGTCCCGACTCTCGTCATCAGGAGACGTTTCCAACGTGCAGTGAGGCTGCAGGCTTTCCACACCGTCAGAATCAACCCCCAGCCAGCTGGTAAGTTAGGTTTATTAAGTTTTTTTTTTTTTTTTTTTTTTACAGCTGTTTTAATCACAGTGGCTTCTTAAAAACAACATTTTGTTCCATTTCTTAATATAATATTTGATCTTTTTCAGTCTCATAATTCTCTTGCTGTACATTATACAAGCAAATGATAGCTCATAGCAGGCATATAGTGACACCTCCTAACTCAGTTGTCTTTTGCTTGCAGAAGTCTTACGGAAGGAAGTTAAAATCACTTCCTACTGGAGAGGACTCCCAAAGATAATTCACTCAACCCTTTCAGTACCAAACTACAATAAACCAGATGGCTATGACTATTATGCCTTCTCCAATAGTAAGTTAAAGCTAATGGAAGTTACTATAGCTCAAAAGCCTAAAGGGGTGGGTGAAGAAAGACACACATGTATCTCCAAGCTGTCTGAAATTACTGCTTGTGATTCTGCAAGATCAATGTTAAATGTGAATCTTTTTTTTTTTTTTTTTTAAAAGGCAAATTTAGAGGTGCTTCTATTACAAAGTAGCACCTTCTTGGCATGCCTTGCTGTAGCTGCTAAGGCTTAAAGGAAAAAAGAAAAAGGCTTAGGGGATGGGGGAAATGACACTTAGATGCAGAATTATATTAATGGTGGATTGAGATCCTTGGGGTGTCCCTGCTGGAGCAGGGGGTTGGACTACATGATCTCTAGGGGTCCCTTCTAACCTCAACCAGTCTGTGATTTTGTGACTGTTACAACACTGACCACTTTGGCAGGGGCTTCAATGGAACTAGGTTTCTAACAAAACAAAAACAAACAAACAAAAAGAAAATCAAAACCCCAACCCCACAACATACTAGCTATATCCAAATACAGGATACTAAAGTATGCTTTTTCCACTAGACAATAATTCCTAACCTTAGAAAAAGGAGGCTAATTCATACCTGGGACCTGAGAAGTCCCACTCTTATAAGTCAGTTTAGGATTGTCTTATTTCTAGCTTGTTTCGTTTCTAAATTCTACAATTCTACAATCTACTACTGTACTAGCAGTTTAAGTGCATTCTTTCCTACTCTTTGTTCTTGGGCAAGACTATTAACAGCACTGAAAAATCTTTGCTAAATACAAAGGAATCTCTCTCTCAAAAACAAACAAACCTACCTTCAAATGCGAGACTAAAATTTCACATTAAGAGCCTCTCTGAAACTGAAAGGAAAAGGAAGGTTTTAACTTCAAGACGCAGAAGTCTTCTCATACTACATGTAGCTTCTGGAATTTAATTCTCATGTCTCTTCATTTCAGATCAGTACTACAGTTTGGATGTGGCCAGCAAAATAGCAACGTCGGTTACTTATCTCACTGGAAAGACTGTATCCAAGGACTGGTACAACTGTCCTAAGTGATGCATACCACAGGATTTTTTTATTTTTTAAAAAAGATGACATTTTAATATTAAGTTTGTCTGATTTTATTAATAAAGACATTGAATTGTGTGCACACATCTAAGTATAAAATGCAGCTTTAAGCTCTGTTTTCATTACACTAAAGCAACCACAGGCAAACTGGCACTTTTTATACAGAGTTGTCACAACTTTACAGACCATTTAACTAATATTGCCTCTGTTCAGGCCTCCTCTGCCTCCCATTGCATGAGTTACACCTGTGTTGGGAAAGAACACATAGGAATTAATAGAAGCCCTTTTCACCCCTTGAATCACACATATCAGCACATGTGCTACTTGTTTCTTCTTAAAGAAAGCACTAATGCAAGGGGACACTTCCTTTCCAGGAAAATTCATTCTTCCTCTTCCTCCCCTTAGCCCTGTGATATGGATACATTATTGTTTTGCCATCTGAGAAAGACAGTTGTTGACTTGTGATCCTCTCTGTCTCAGGCTATATGCCAAAAGAAACAAATACAGCATTTTTAATCCCAACTGCAAGCAGCTAGCTCCTCCTTACGGTTAATAAAGAAATGGTGATAGACTAGGAAAGAGCTCTAGGCTAGCTCTACAACCTCATATTTTTAAAAGAAATACTAGATCCATACATTTCAATACTAACATCAACATATAAATGTTAAAATAATGCCAAGCTAAATACATTTCACTGGAGGATTCTTCTTAAAACAGAAGTTAAACCACTCCATATTTTTTCTGCTTTAAAAAATATATTTTATATATATATATATATTATATGTATATATAAAAAACATAGTTTGAAATCAGAGTATGACCTGAAGCAACCTAATAAAATAACTGGATGACTGGAACACTTACGAAATACCAGATGGGAAACTAACCTCTAAAGTCACAAACCAAGAGCTCCAAAGTCCAAATGTTATTTTCTGAGTTTTGGGTTTTTGTTTTAGTTATGCTTAAAATCTACTATCATTCTCTTCTTTCCACTGGTAAGAATCAACTGCTGCTCAGGCTAACAAAGCAACACCAATCCTATGTATTTTTTAGGGTAACATACCTAAAGCTAGGGCATGGATGCTGTATTATTCGAAGCATCACAAACACTGAAAGCAGTACCATAAATATGGTCACCAAAGGAAGAAACTATTGAAAACTGATTTAAAAGAAAATGGTCTTGATGTGAGCAATGACAAACGCTTACCCCTCTGTCTGTTGAACTGCCGACCACGAACACTGGTTCTTAATGTTGGTGGCTGAAGCCGGACACGGCGAATTGTCTTAGGCTGATTAGTACTTGTGTCTGCAAAGAGAAAATAATACAGGAGAGATGTCTAGCACATGGTACACTATCACTCTTGATGGTTACATGACTTGATAAACACCTGAATTTACTCTAAAGTTACACAGGTGCATCATAGTTCATTGAAATCTGACAATAAATAAAAGCCTCAGACTGGGTAAGTTTGGCATCTCTCTTCTATCTATGCTTACTAGTAAACCAGTAACTGAACAGTGATTTACTTATTGTTCTCTGACAACTTAATTGAATGAACAAGTCTGTTTTGAATTTGACATCAAAAGTTACACTGGAAAGAATTATCAATGCATCAAGTAAGTTTGGCTCCTGCAAGCATTATTCTTACTACAGCCCACTCCAGTTTCTGATATCCAACTAAAGTGACTTAAGGCACCTAAATGTGTTCTTTCCCTTATCTCTAAGATTTGCTATCTTATTTTGTAAATCTTGGCTATCAAAAGTGCATGGTACTGGTTCAAAAATTCCTACACTAAACCAAAAAGCAAGGAATAACCCATTTCAGCAATAAACTATTACCTGCAGATGAACTAGAAGGAGGATCTTGACTAGTAGATGGAAGGTCTGACTCATCAGATGCTTGAACAGCTTCTTCTTCCTGTTGACTATCAATTTCTAGACCAGCTTCTGAAGTAATTCTATAAAGAAAAAAAAAAGTAGACAGGTAGGTAAGTTTAGGTAAGTTTTCTTAGTGCAGAAAAATATCTAACCAAGTGTCCTTCCCTGGAAATTTTCATAGGCTTTCTCCTCCTTTATCCTGTTTCACCACCCTCAACTATGAGATTAAAGATTTTTAAGTAAACAACAATATCATTTTCTTGATACACAGCTCAGTTCAAGATGGATCTTGACTTTAGAGTACAAGTCTTAGCTGACCCATCAAGTCATAGCTTACCCTTCAGATTCTGCCTCTGCAAAGACTTCATCTCCATCATCCCCAGCTCCAGACTCTGTAGTTGTGGACAGGTTGCCAGTAGATGTAGTAACCATTGGAACAGACTGGGAAGCATGTTCCGAGGCGTCCGCTGATGTGCTTTCTGTAAAAACTGTCACTGTACAGGCAAGACAGTCAATGAACATGGAGTTACTTTGTACTTCCTAAGGAAAGCGTACAGAAATCTTGGATACATCAAGGAAAAGGCAATAGGAATATTCTTGCTGTATCAATAAGCAGTATAATAATGATTTTAATTCTGGAAAAATCAAGGCTTCCAGTCTTTGCACCCACTCACCTGGTGCTGCTACTTGCAAGGGTGTTGTTGGAACACTACGACCACCCGATTCTTCCTCATGAGCAAGGAAGAGTGGAGTTTCATACATTCCTAAACCTGCAATAGAAAAGGTTTTAATGACAATTAAAATAGCCAGTTAAAGCAAATTTATTTCTATGCACCCAGTGAAATACAGTGCTTTGTACTTACTGAGATTTTAGATATTTTAACAGCTTTTAACTTATTTTACTTTTTAGTCTTTTTCTTATCCTATTATTGTGCTGTGAGCTTTCCACAAAGAATAACCAACCTTTTCATATTGACAAGGATGCAAGGGAAAGGAACCGATTCAGGACAACAGCAAAGACAAATTTTCTGGTCTTTAACTAGGTCCTTTAACTTAGCAGGTAAACATTTACCCCAAAGATTTATTTGCATTTCCTGTTTTCCCTTATTATTTTACTCTTAAAAAAAAAAAAAAAAACCTACAATCAACATGAAAAGTGAAGTAAAAAGCTATTCTTTCAATATTTTAAATATTAATTTTTATTTATTTAATAATATATTAAAATATATTAAATAATATTTAATACATTCTGCTCAAATGATATTTCTCCTCTTCACTAGGCCATCTGCCTTGTAGATCCTTTCTGCTACCCACACTTCTCCAATTTACAATTTACACAAGAGGTATCCTACATTTGAAACTATGTTACAAATGGAAATCTAGTAGCCTGAGGGAAAAGCCTTTTCCATTAGTCTTGCTCTCTCCTAATTAAAAGCAGGTTTACACACTACAACAAGTCCTCAAAACTGTGTTACTTCCTCTTGCCAAAATTTTCTTGTTGTTGCTCTAACAATCATGGAGAAGAGTTTGGAACATATTTACCTCCTTGTGATGCAAGCTGACCAAGATCAGAGTGGCTGGAACTAGTCTGTGGCATATCTTCAGGGGGGCCAAATCTGAACCTAGGAACTCCAGCGACCTGAGGGGAACTAGCAAAATGAAGACATAAATAATTCTGCAATTTTGCTGGTGATCAGAAAAATAACTTTACAACAAGAGAACGAAAGAACAAGTTACTACCTAAATGCAAGTTAGTTTCTCAAGCTTATTTGGACTGCATCAGCAGAGGGTAAAACAGTTCTGATGAGAATTATTTTTTGTTTATTTGTTCTCCTGTGAATTCTCAGTTCTAAGTGGACTGCAGAACATGTCCAAAACCAAGATGAATTTCCCCTACTTTAAGTGGTGAATAACATTAGTATTGCAAAACCTGTCCTTCTGTTACAAACTCTTAGAATACTCATATTAGAATACTCATATTGAAGGTGAGGGGAAGTAAAATAACCTTTTTGCTAAATGTCTTCTTAGTTAAATTCCATCCTTCTAAAGTTACAATACACTGGAGATGACTTCCCACCTAATTTGTTGATAAGTTTTATGATCTACAGTTCAAACAATTTTAACTGATGTGGATGCAGTGATACATCTAATTTAATACTATTTAGCACATAACTCCAATCAAAAATTCATTTCACTTGAATTGACCTTCACTCCACTGAAAAGTCAAAAATGCCAAATTTTGATCATTACTTACTGAATAGCTTCTGCAAATCCATCTGTACGATGTGGTACTACAAGAGTTGGTGTGCTGGGAACTGTTCTGTCCTCATCATCAAAGAAGTGCTGCTGCTGGAAAAAGAAAGACTGAGATGAGAGGCTACGATGTATTTCAGGTTCGTATCATGCTGGCTTAAAGGTTGGTTGTCTTTTTCCAAACCCTCTACCAAAATATAAATAGAGACATATTAAAACAAAACAAAACAAAAACAAACAAACAAACAAAAAAAACACTTGTGTAGTTTCAGGAAGATGAGATACCCCTGATGTTGGACAGAACTCCAACTCTCTCCTCTTGTTTGGCCATCCATCAATTTGTTTCTGCCAAATTTGGTTGAAACTGGATGAATAATTCAAAATTAACTGAAGGAGATGGACAGAAAGCATAACTGAACTAATCACGCTACCTTAGGATCAGATAGAAACATATCCACTTTATATATTCACTCATACCCCTAAAGATATTTGCTAGTCTTATTTGAAAAACAAAGTTTCCCAAACAAACAAATAAAAGCCCCTCAAAAGCCATAAAATGCTCCCTCAATGCAAGTTCTTGCTAGCAGGCATTTATATACTCACCATCCCACCTATACCAGGAGTCAGCTGAAGTCCACGTCCCACTGACTGTCTTCGAGTCATCTGGATTCTCTTTACAGTTCAAAAAAAAAAAAAGCAGAGAGAGAGAGAACACATAGACATTAACAGAGATTCCAAATTTATTTATTTAAAATGACTAATATATCAAAATTCTTTTTGAAGCAGTTTACTTAAATAGTCTAACTGTGGGCAAAGATGACTGAATTTATTTCATGTACACATACATAATGTCACATACATCCAAACTCCTGGGTGTATTTCATAACACATAAAAGGATCATGAAAGCTATACTGCTTTTAATATTCCTTTCACTCATACAATTACAATATGAACAATGAGGCGCGGTAACTCAGTTTGCTAAGCTTCTATTTTTTTAGGATAATAAATAGAAGTGATTATTTTTCTATAAGATGCAGGGTCCTTAAACTAGAATCTTCCCGATTTAGAAGAAACCATGCAGTACTTTGTGGGTTTTTTTAAGCCTCCTGAAGTGCCAGAGATGTTTTATACCTGTACAGGGGGACCCAGTTCTTGGGGAGGAGCATGAATAGTTAATCGTGGTGGCAACGGATGCGGTGGCCTGCGTGGTGACTGGGGAGGTCGAGGGGGCTGCCGCTCCGAGGCAGATGATGGCTGCTGTTCTCTTGAGCTTTCGTGAGGAAAAGTGGACTCTGCAGCACTTGTACTCCCTTCACCTAAAACAGAAGCAAAGATAGAACAAAAAGCTTATGCCATCCAAAATGTTACGTGAGTTGAAAATGTGAAGGGAAAAATCCTTGAATTTTGATACCATGTTCACACAAACATTTTTATCCTTGCAAAAGTGGGGACAGCTCAGTACTGTCACTTAATATCCTCTGAAAGAGAGTTTGTGCCAGCCAGGACAACACCAGCACCAAAACAGGCTATTGATTATTCAAGCACTGATTCACACAGTGCATTGAAAGTACTGAACCATCAAGACCAATTTCAGAGCAGCCACAGATTTTAGGGTTTTCAAATGAATGCAGAATATGTTCTGTTGAATTTCCTTGGGTGATTCTCAAAAAAATATGGTCAAGTTAAAAAGGTCATTATAATTTCCAATGGTCACTAAATGTGATTTTTAATAGATGCAAAACAACTTTTTCTTTTTCCCCTATGTAGATACAGGCTTTGAAGAAACATGGATTAACCATACCGCTGTTTTGAGAATCTGCTGCCCTCTGGTTGCTTTCACCTCCTCCCATGCTCTCCTCAGTTTCTGTTCCAGGATCTGTACCATCTGCACCCTAGAAACCACATAAACATACTGTGATTCAGCATCAAAACACTTCTTGGACTGCAATGAAAACATGTAAGTAGTAAACAAATATGCAAAAGTAATCAAATATATGTAATTTTAAGATATTTGTATAAATATCTTAAGAAAGTTAAGCAAGTTATGTCCTTTTAGACAGCTGCATGAATTTAAGAATTTTGTGTCTGTATACATACATACAATGAACAATGAAGCCATCACTTAACAGGCAGGTTTTAACTAAATATCCAGCTTTTGTAGAAAGCTAGTGCGGCAGTTTCTAACTTCTGCATTTTGTACTGGCTCCTATACTTCATGTTTACACATTCAGAGTTGATTGTTCTTGTAAAAAATACCAGTCACAGCACAAAACCCAGTTATGTACCAGCATTCCCAACTTTCTGGGATGAGCTTGTATTAAAATTGTCAAGCGTGGAAATATTTACATAAGAGTTACAATCCCATTTTTTTCCAAGAAACTTAACAAGCTATAAAAAAGTACAAATCTCACCTCAGCATCATCTGCTTCATATCCATCATTACCATCAGCACTACCAGTTCCTTCATTACTGTCATCACCTTCGTCTCCCATCCCTGTGTCTTCATCATCATCCTCATCTTCCTCTTCTTCATCCTCATAATCCTATAAAGTATAGCATGGCCTTAGGAAGTCCTCAAAGGGCAGCAAAACCACTTCACTACGGTACGAAGATCACCCTTGTCTGCGGACCTCTTTCTGAAGACATCCACTGTTTATTATTGAGTGGCCATAGGTATTTTTAGATTCCTAATGGTACCAACCCAGTCCTAGGGAAAAGGTTCAGGTTGTGCCTGTCATCTGAACATACTGACAAGACATTGGCAATGCAAAGGTTACACAGCAATGAACTAAAAATGCTTTCTTCACTGCTAAGTGTGAAGCAAAACTGGTGAGAACATAGGACCGTTGTAATGAGATAGGCGAGTTGCTGATAGGTGCAAAATTTAAGATACTTAATGACACTATAAAATAGGCTGAATAATATTTTTGGTTAATTCAAATATCTTCCTTAAAGGTTTTTTTTTTCCCCTAAATGTACATGTTGATTATTCATAAATGGATTAGAGGAGTTGTGAAATTTTATGATTGGTCACAATCTAACTGAACTAGCAAGCATTTTTAAAACACTAGAAGTTCAGGCAACATAAGTATAGACAGTATTTATACAGTCAAAGAGATAATTTTGAAGAGTGCTAGTCCTGCAAGGTAAGCTGTACATCTGATCAAAGATATAAAAAGGTTATATATTATGATATAACTCCTGATATACATACTTCTTGCTCGCCTTCGTTTTCTTCATCATCATCATCTTCATCATCACTATCAATTACGATGACATCATCTCTCTTGGACTGACCATCCTGAGACGAACACGTGTTCTGCTGATCTGACTGAAGAGGTCCAAGATCTATTGGTATGGACTGAGAAGTTTCTTCACTATCCTCCATGGGAGCATACTCTCCCTGAGTAACCCCCTGTAAAGACAAAGTTATAATTGCTCTCCACTGAAAACCTGCAAATTTAGATTTGAAATTTCATTTCCAAACAATTTTAAAGGTTTTGGGGAAAAAAAGAGAGTTATTTTGACTGCAATTAAGATTTGTTTCCTTTTAAACGCGCTTACTTCTCCAATGGAGTCTTGTGAATCCTGGTTGTAGGCCTGAGCTTCTACTTCACCATCAGTGCTCTCTTCTGCTGCCACTTCCTCCTGAAAGAGTATGCTTTCCTTATTTAAAACATATTAGTGGTCCTAAAATTTGATTTTTTTTTTTAAAGAAGTCCTCTTTTATCCCTAAAGTTACAGATATCATTCTACTCTCTCTTTACTCCTATTTCTTAGCTCTGCTTTTATTTAACCCACTGCAAATATACCTCAGATTTCTCTGTCCTTGAGAAACACACTTTCCACATTTCCAGGCCACTGCAACTACCCTCCTCAATGTCTCTACATGTCTTCAGGACAAATACAAACTCAAAGTTTCCCATTTTATCTCTATTTTCTCACTAAGTGAAATCATCTTGTAATCTTGTCCCCTTCCTTTCTTAGATGCCTTTACTCTCCCTTCCACAGTTAAGGGCAAATCTTTTGATTTCCTTAACATTTTTACCATGAACTCTATGCTCTGAAGTGTTAAGTTCACTCTTTCTTTCCAGGGAAACCCCAACAAGTTCCTCACACCAACATTTCACATGCATCTCCTATGAACTTTTCCATGAAACATCATGTATTTGCTTTCTTGGCATGTCTTCAGGCACACTGTATTTTACTCCCGAAACACTGTAGGTAGGACCTTCCAGACCACCCCTAAAATATTTTCACTTTTTCCTCCACAAGGCCAGGATACGGCCCCCTCTCACCATCCACTCTATAGCTCTCTAAGATTTGCACTGCTCAGCACAACTGGTATCATTTCTACCTTTCTGATAACCAAACTTACTTGCTTTCTCCCAGGTACATTAAAACAATCGTGATAAAAATAAAGGTCATCTGCTCTCAAGTAGCACGCTCTTTTTTTCCAATTAAAATCTTCCAAAGAGACAACTTAAGTAATAATATTTTATACTCTTACAAACCTCAGGCCCAACTCTCTGTATATTCCTGAATTTCTTTGGAAGAGGTACATCCACCGTTTCCTCTGAAATTTGGTCCGAGTTTTCTACAGTGTTATCCTCCTCTTCCTCTCGGGGACGTTTAGACAGTGAAGAACTTGGGGTAGCTGAAACTTAAAAGAGCCTCTCAGTTATTTTCAGAAGAACTACAAAATTTCAAACCTTTTCATTTTCTACTTTGTAATTTTACCCTGGTAGAACTGCCCCTTTTCTGCATTCAATGGTGACAAAAAAACCCCTTGTGCTCTTTCCTGGAGACATTACAAAATCTGTCCCTCAGGTCCAAGACCGTAAGATTTCATATCAAGGCTTACCAAATAATCAAAATAAACAAGTACATTTCCCCACATCTTGCTTCTGATAAGCCAATTCCTTTTCTAATGGGCAGTTAGGCCTAATTTGACAAGGGCATAAAGGGAGCTGCTGAAAAGCAACTACTCAGAAAAGCAGGCCTATAAAATAAAACCAACCTGTGCCAAAGACTGATGTGGAAGTGGAGGGCCTCTCTATTTGAGAGCTCTGCACCACTTCTACAATGGCAGGTGAAGGCTCCTGGCTAGCAGGCTCAATCTGAGCGTGACTTTGCTGAGTGGGCTGCACAAAAGCAGTTGCCTGAGTCTGCTGCTGAACAGTGAGGATGGGCTGCGAGAGGGACGTCTGAACATTCGGGCTGGTGGAACGCACAGATCCGCTCGTGCTCCCGAAGACTGGAACGTGCTCCACAGGCCCCTCTGACTGCATAGCTGAAAGGCAAACGGTGAAACATTCAACTGCCTTCATACAATCTAGTACGGTTCACATTCTCCATTTCAGAACGCAAATTCAGGCATATTCAGTGCTTCTGAGATTCACTTAACACATCCCCTTTGGCTTAACCTTGTCTTCAGGTGAAAAATAAGGAACTTTGTGGCAAAAGCAGTTCTTAAAAGTGCAATACGCAGAGTTCAGGGACAATAGAAGTACCCGAAATGGTTCTTAACTACCAATTAGTGAGATCTCAAGAGGAAGGTAGTAATTATGGTTACAGTGGATCTATTTAGATGCATGCTAGAATGCTCACCTTCCTGGGTCTCCACCTGTGTCGTTGGCATAACTGTGGCTGTTGGAGTAGTGGTAGGGTTTGTAACTGTAGCAGGAGTAACCATAGGACGGATACTGGCCCTCGGAGTAGACTTGTTCCCAGCCATCGCAGCTGCAGTCACTTTACTTGGAGTCGACACCACAGGAGTTGGTTTAATATTTGCTGTTGGAGGATCTGAAGTGCTAGCACTGAAAACAGGACACTTGTTTCATTATCCTAGTACAGAAAGTAAACTTGGTAAACATCAAATTACACTGTCTTACCACAGCCTCAAATATTTATTTTTGAAGGTTTATTTTTAAAGGTTTAATATTTAAAAACCTCTCAAGAGGACAACAAACAGCTGTCTTCCAGGATTTGCATATCTTAAAAAATTAACCCGTTTTTGCCATCAATGGCACTAACATTAGTAACATTAGAGTTTTGATGGGTTTATTAAAATATAATTAAACAGAAATCTGTAAGTAGATCTACTGACTATCACAAAAGGAGCATAGCGTAACTCATTCCACTTAATGGAGTGCTGCCTCTTAATTACAAGCAGCAATATTAACGAATACAATTATATATCGTTTTAAGGTTAACTGTTTAATTCAATATGGAGTTACATGATCTCTTGTTTGAGATTAGGATCAGCCTAGCACATTTTAAATGAAACGTTTTAAGATCAGAGCCTTGCTTTAAAGGGATGCTGCCATAAAAATTCAGAAAAGTTGCTTCTCTAAATGTCATAATATATACTCATCATCTTATAGCTTGGTTGGTTGGTATTTTATTACAATTTGATTGTCATTTACTTATTAGTAATCGGCTTTACCACTTATTTAGCCCATTTTGGGAAGGAGGGACAGGTTATTTTCCTCCCTCCTCCAAAATGTTGAAAGTAACAATGGAAAGTGTCTAACAAAGTGTCTGAAAACATTTAAAAATTCCCAGATAATCTGTTTCTGGTGGTTAATATGCCGATATTATCCCAATCTTCAAAGTTGCTTAAGAAAAATCTATGAAAAGGCCAGTAGTTAACTGCAAGAACATCATCTAGGAGTAAGACAACTTCCTCCCGCCCACAGTCTAAGACACTCTTCAAAAACTCCAAACTCTTTAACTCACATTCCTCTTTCACCTGAAGCTGGAGTGGGTTTGAGTGAGATTTGCCTCTGTTGTTCTGGAACCTAAAAAGTATTGAGTATGTAAGAAACATATCCCATAAAAAGCATCATAGTTCTATGAAACATCATGTAATTCTATGGAATGAATATAAGCAAGAAATTTGGGAGAAAAAAAAAATACTTTAGCAGATTCATCTCTTCATTTACAATTGTTGCTATTTCAGTTTTGTCAGGATACAGTAGCTCTGGCAGCTGACCACGTAAAATCTTCCACAAAACATGCTGTTCATACCAGGTATTTAAAACATTTAAGGGCTTTCTCAGCTATTTTCTGAAGCTGCTAAGACATTCATTACAACTAGTAAAACCTGGAACCAATTACACTGAAAGCAAGTGTAAAAATGCAGATACAAAGAACATAGTATAAGCAGTTGATTTGCCAATACACAGTGAATGGAGCAACTGCACACTAGTTAACAGGGGGAAATTTGAACATGGCAGGAAATAATTTTTAAATTAACTTTTCAAGTCAATTTCCGTCTTCCCAAAACCAGTAGAAATCAAATAATGCAGTTTGCTGGGCTCATTGCTATTTTTTTTTTTCAAACTAGAAGTTCTGTGACAGGGATTTCCATCTGCTATTTAGGTTATATAACTAAAACCAACTTTGTGTAAAATAGTCATGCAAAAGAAAGACAAAAGCAGGATAGCGGTGCTAGTACTGGACTTGTTTTGGTTCATCTGTAAGACACACACACAAGCTCTTGATGTCCTTTCGTACAGCTAGCAAAGAGGATTTTGTACCTTATTTGTAGATTCGGGTGGCTCATCTCGCTGCTCATGGTGTCGCTCTTGCTGCTCTCTAAGCTCCCTCTCCAGGCGGCAGATCCGACCCTCGTACTGCGATTTGAGCGCGCTCATCCGCACCTCCAGCTCCGTCTTCTGCTCTTCTAATGAGGTGCTCTTTTGCTTCCACTCTTCATTCTCTTTTGTTAGCTGTTCTTTCGTACCTAATTGAGCAGGAAAGTATTCAATCTTGCCATTGTAAAACTGCCTAAGTCTCTGCACGTCAGTGCCTCGCTTTGATTGGCCAAAAACTGACCAAAACTTGGGTTTCCCCCAATGTACAACTAGTTTTAGGATATTTCCTGGAGTACCTAATTTAAAAAAGTTTCAAGTAAAAGGCCACGTTTTCCCAAGAATCCTATCTGAGAAACCTTCATGCTTGATGCATTCTCATATGAAAAATAAAAAACTGAAATAGAAGAAAAAAGCTTAAGGACTGAAAAATGAACAAACAAAGTATCATGTATAATACCAGCTAATTGTGCAATTTTCTGCTTGGCTGCGAGCAGAGTCTTCCTAGTTTTCTCTTCTTTCTCAGTGATCTGTTGCCTGAGCTGTTCTTCCTGTGTAGTCTTCTCTTGCAGATCTTGATGAAAACGAGCAATCTCTGACTGTAGCTGTGATATCTGCTCCTGAAGATTTCTAGCTTCCGTTTCCTTCTCTGTTATAGTCTAAAGACAGTGACATAACACAGCTATTGGCCACAATCAGCTATTTCAAATGGCCTAACAAGCTTCAAGAATGTAGGATTAAATAAAACTTCTCTTTGAATGCAACAGTGGAGTGCAGAGCATCCATTTTCTCACTTATTTCTAATAAGCAGCAGCATGTAACATCCTAAATCCAGAATTAAAAATAATTTTCTGCCAGACCTTTCCAGACTAATTAGCGGTACAACTGAGTCACGTTCATGGCCATATATTTAAAATTGCATTTAAGTAGAGCACAACTTTCTGAAACAGTCTGCTCTGCTCTTACCTTCTGTAAGGTTTCAACCTGACCCTCCAAAGCCTTTATCTTCCCTTCAGCTTGACCAAGAGAGTCTTTCAGCTCTTGTACTTCCTGGGCAGAAACTTGCTCTTCTTGTTGTTCTGTACAAGGTTGAGTTGATGCTTCTGCAACCAGCTGAAACACATCAAGTGGTATCAGTAGAAAGTACAGTATCAGATTGTGCCATCCCTGTCACAAGGCTCTTTTGCACACAAACCCATCACGTAAAGTTGGGCAGAACAGAAGAGATTAAATTCTAATGTTCTGTTAAAAATGTTGTCAAGTACTGACTGATATGCAGCTCATGCTCTGTGGCAGTTCCTAAGCTAACAGCAGAAGTGGTGTTTCTGCTTCTCTTTTTGGCAAGTATGTAGCCATATAACCTTATATCAAATAAGGTGAACATCATTAGCTGTATTATACATGAGCCTAGATGAAAATGGACAGTTGAATGTATTTGTGAACAAGCAGAAGAGATTTCTACCTTATCATGCTGTGCCTTCAGCTCCTCATACTGAGTCTTATATCTGCGCCCAATTTTCTTGACCTGTGTTATAGTTTTCATTTTTTCTTGTATGTCAGCTACTTTAACTTCTAGTTCTTTCTGCAAAGCGTCCTTTTCTGTCCTTATTTTTGTTACTTCATCCTTCAGGTTCTGAACAAGATTCTGGCTTGTAGTCAAGGAAGCGTTAGCTCTAAATACCAAGAAATTTGAGGAACATGCAAAAGAAATGTATTGATTATCACCTGACACATCTCAGTATCACTTATTTATCACAAGTAATTTCTTTAGCAAATTAGGCTAACATTTTCCATTAAAAAAAAACAAACTCAACTAGGAGAGTTTCTAAAACATTTCTCATTTCATTTTGTGTACTTTATCAACCTAGAGTAAAAACAGATTTTACACTTACATGGGAACAGTTTAAATATTTCTATATGCATCTTAATTTTAAATACTGTGTTTTGCATGTAACTTTTTACTGCTTTTTTTCTACTATACCTGGCTATTTCTGCTTTAAGCCGGCCTGTTTCTTCACTCATTTGCTGTATTCGCTTGTTATTTGCCTCTTTCTCTGACAGCAGCTTCCGATATTCTTCAAGATCAGTGTCCTTCTGTTGACTCAACAAATGCTGAAAGATTTAGAAAATAGTCTGCGTTTTCATAAAATGATTACACAACTGTATGTTCTTACATTTTGATACAGTCTGTGAGATTAGGCTAGCACATTTTACACTCATGAAAGCAGGTTTTAAAGCTGCACAGACATCTATGCTTAGTAATTCAAATGCATTTCTCACATTTCTGTCATTTTTCAGGGAATAACTTAAATCTTTGCTATACTCAAATTCTTTTTTTAGAAAGCTTATTTGAAAAACCCTTTTCCCACCTGGGTCCGGGCTTTCCAGCGTTTGACATCTTCTTCCAAAAGCTTTTTCTCTGCCTGCAACATTCCGCTCTTCTCACTCAGCTCAGCATTGGACTCCTGGAGAGGCAGGATGTCCGCCTCAAGTTTGCGCACCTGGAAAACATAACTGGGAACTAAACTCTCTGGAGTAGGCCTAAAATCATGATGCTAAACAGGCCAGAGACGAAATAAAAAACTGAAAAGTCAAGATAAAGTCTTATTCAACTCTGCCCCTCACTGGACAATGGGGCTAAGAGAGAAGGAAGAGGCATGAAAGCAGGGGATGTTCCTACAGGGACAAAAATAGAAACATGACTGAATCTCAGGTTCTCTTGGTAACAGAAAAAAATGATCATTAACTTTATATCATAAACAAAATAGCATTGTCCTTAATTCCACTAAAATGACTGGTGTTTAAAGATGGAAGGAGTCACACAGTTTCTCTTTAAACTCTTAATAAAGTTTTAGTCTACTTGACAGCTATTGCTATGCCATTTTTCATCCAACTGTCAATAACATCATTGTTACTAGTATATCTTAAGGGCAAGTGCCAGTTTTCCTTTTTACTTAGGAGAGTCTGAACTTACGTACTCATGTCCTTCAAAAATCTAAAAGGAAAGCTTCTTCATTTGTGTATAATGTCAGAGAATAACCACTACACCATATACTTATGGTAATTAACAGGACTAATGCACGTTAGCTCACTTGAATATCTGACACTTGAGTATCTCAAATATCACTACTAACCTTTGCTTGCATTTGTTGGAGTTCTTGTTCTAATCTCTCCTTTTCTTCTCTCAGCATCTTGTTGGTTTCTATCAGTATGTTCATAGTCTCAGTTTTTTTCATTAATTCTTCATGCTGTGCAATGGTTTTTGCTGTTACCTGTTGAAAAGATTTAATCAATCATTTGTTTTACCTGAACACACACATACACTTGTCTCCACCTGATGTAATACCATCTTGGAATACATATACACATGTATACATACATACACACATATATGTACAAAAAATAAGTTCTGCTTAAGAAAAAGGGGAGGGAGGAAAAAGTGTAAAAGACAGAAAAGAGTTTTAACTTTCCCCATTTACCCTTTTTTTTTCTTTTTTGGAATTGCCATATTACTTCAAAGGACATGGAACAAAGCCCCTAAATACCATCTCAGTTCAGAAGCTACTGATTCTTCCAAAACCTTTAATTTTGGGGCACAGGCAGCAGAGAGATATTAGAACACAGATCAGCACTCTGCTTAGTGAAATCATAAGCAATAATATCCAACCAAACCTGCACTTTCTCTCTCTCAGCATTGAGACTGTCCTGCAGCTCCTGGAGCTCCCTTTCCAGGTGCTCTACTCTCTGACGGTATCGCAGACTCTCCACCTGAGCCACCTCAAACCTAGTTTCTGCAATCTCCTTTTCTCGACGTATAAATCTGTAATAATAAAAGGCAAAGCACCACGTCAACCAAAAAGCAGGACAAGGCATTTAAATTGAAGCTTCTTATACCTGAAGGACTTTTGAGTACAGCCACTAGTTCAGAAAGAGAAAGAAAATAAAATCCAAGTACATATACAGGTGAACACACAAAAAAGCCACAATGAGAAAGTAGTCTTTATGAAACCTTGCTGATCATATTCACTAAAAAATGCATTAGTCAGAATCCACTCAAAATTTTTCCTAGGGGCACAAAGAAATCTCTATTACTTATTGATGTACAGAAACAGCCTCTCATTTACTAAAGCAGTATTAAACTTTATACATTATTCCTGAAACATACACTGGGACCATCTGGCAACTGAATTTATAAACAAGAAGAGAGAGTGTCCAGAACAAAATACATTTACCTAAGAATTTCTAAGATTTGTTCCTGAGATTTGCCTTCCTCATTGAGAGAGACATTCAATGCACTTGGCATAGCTTCTTTCATAGAGGTCACCATCTTGCTGCTGAGACTTTCCAGTTGTTCATGTAACAATCGATTTTGCTTTTCCAGGTCTTCACAGCGGGATGCGTGCGTTGAAGCTTCATCCTAGAACACGAAAACTGATGACTAAATTCTGTGTAGGCTAGTAACTAAAAAAATACCCTACCAGAACCACAGAAACAGTCATACCTTGATCATTCTCTCTCTCTCTTCCCAGGAGGCTTTACACTCTAGCAGTTCAGACTCGGCTTTCCGAGCAGCTTCCTCCAGCTGCTGCCTGACTGCCGTGTTCTTGGCGACTTGCTCCTTGATGGCCTGCAGCGCTTCCACGTCGGCAGCGTGGAGCATCAGCTCCCGCTCGTATTTGTTCTGAGCCTCAGAAGCTATCTTTGCCTGCAGCAAAGACCCATGTTATGTGTTTGCGAGGTACAAAAAGATGTTCAGTAAGAATAGCAAACACTGAGCACAAAGAAAATCTCTGGCTAAAACGGACTTTATAATTCTCAAGTCCTAAACAAAGTAGTATGCTAGAATGGTTTCTTAAAATAAGTAATTTAAATATACGAAAAGAAAAAAGCTGCAATCAATTTGAGGACTGGATAGAAGGAGAAGATATTCTAGATTTTGCAATCAATCTTCTTGCTGTAGATTCTGCGAGAATAAGACATGAGTGCCTGAATATCCACTGATTACTTTTACATGTGAAGGGGCGGACAAATTTATTATATAAAAACGTAAAAAGTAAAGACTAGATTATTTGGTCGCAATATTAGTTGGCACTAATGGAAAAACCTTTTGGTTAGATTTCCATTTGAATTAAATTGGCCCAAAATTCTTCACGATCCCTTAAATCGGTCAGTGTTTTAAAAACCTCACCCGAAGAAAAGCACACTCACAGCAAAAGACATGGTAACTAAGCAGCTTTCTGATCAGGTATTGCTAAATATCATATTACTCCACAGTTTTAGTAGAGACTAATACTGTTTGGGATAAGATGGAATATTTATATCCCATTGCCTAACTGTAGGAGCTCAATTTTTACTTTTCTCTTCCAGCTGCCACTTTCCCTGTCAGGAAATTCATTAAAGTGTTAGTTACATTCCACAATCAGCTCCTTATGTAATACCATCAACCTCAGAAACAGCAATCCAGCATATCTTCCATTAGCTGTTTTTTTTTGAATACGACACATACTGTATTTGCAGCACAACTTTACATTCAAAGTCAGCATAGCTGATATTAGTCCCAACATTAATAAGGCAAAAGTAAGCAGTAAACAATCAGTTGTGCTACAAAATAGAGGGAATGCTCTTATAATGCTTTTTTCATCTCCAGTAACTCTGATTAGCAGAACTATAACCAAAAAATGTTTTTGAATTGAAGTAAAAAAAACTAACACTAATTCCCCATCTCGGCTAAAGCAGCTAAATACTGCAAACATACTTGCTCCTGGCAGTCACGTCGGGCTTGCTGTTCATTATTCAGAGCTGTTCCAGCTCTCTGAAGAGCTTCCTGAACTTCCGATTGCACGGTTGACAGACTTTTCTTCAGTTCTACCAGCTAGTCCAACAGGACAGCACCCCAGGAAAACAAACAAACAAACAAGAAAAACTCTCTAAACAAAATATTTTACAGAGTGCCAAGTACAGCAAGGCTATAAATAAAGACAGTCATTTTAGAATCCAAGCATGATCTCACTACAAGATTATTAGATTACAAGATTATATATAGTATAATAGTTTAAGTCTAAGGAGAAATTCTGTCAAGGCTTTGTATCTGTTTTGGGAAGAAATATATTACTGTTCTTTCAGAGCTGGATTTGCAGGTATGCTGATTACAGTCACCTTGGTACATTCAGCCCCCATAAGAGCCCAAACATAAAATGAATATATATTTTTGCAAATGGTGCTCAAAGTTCATGGGCATACAGATAGCTTTATGCTCCACCACCTTAAAAAAATGACAAGCTTAATTTAACACTCGTATTTAGCAATCTGTCAAATTGTGTTTGGCTTTTCTATACCAGTTTGGAATTATTTTGCTTTGGACACTAGTACACTACACTCTCCCTACAAAAGGAAGTGAAAACAAAGTTACACTTACAGACTTACTTAAAAGTATGTGCCAGTAAACTCTTTCCAAGGGAGTTTAAGAGGATTCAGTTCCTACCTGTTGTTCCATACTCTCCAAGGCTTTGCGCTTCTCCTCCTGAAGTTCTTGCTTTTCTTTCTCTGCCTCCATCAGCTTCTTTTCAAGCTGCGCTTGATACTCTGAAGACTCCTTCAGTCGAGCTTCAACTGTTGCACGAACGTCCTCTGTCACCTTTAGTAAAATCCATAGGAGACCAATTAATATTTTGCTTCAAATATACTATTGTCACGCAAACCCCACATTTTAGTACAGATTTTAAGCCAGGATAGGTATTTTCAGCATCTCATTTAGAATACAAATTCCACAAATGCCATGGAAATATTAATGTAATTTTGCCAAAACTGCAATAACTCATGAAGTGTATCTGAAAAAAGCTTTAGATGATATTATTCAAACACATAGCAAGTAACACATTTTTATTACATATAAAGTCTACAATACAGTCAAAGAGACTGACTGAAGACCATAAATTCACATCTCCTGCATGAAACAAACTGCTTTTGATTGAAGGATAATTAATGGCTTTTTTAACAGCAATCACCGGATTATAGGAAGTTCTTATACATCCCCTTTCCAAAAGAAGACTTTGGCAAAATTCAGCCTGAAGTCAAATTTATGTTTTAAAAGTAGGCAACAAAAAGGTTTAATATTCCTATTGCTAAAAGTGTTTTTAATCAAGTTAATAGTTTTACCACCTGTTTTGTAATGCCTCTAAACTTAGTTTATTATTCCTCCCCTGACCCAAGAGATTACAGTAAAAATAATAAAAAATATTGTTCATCTTGTTTCTGTCTTGCTCTAATAGACAATATTAATTAATCGTTATCTACTTACTTGTTTTTCCTTATTAAGGGATTCCTCTAGACTAAGCACCATAGCCCTGTATTGCTCCACATTACTAGAACTAGTCTTGAGTCTTTCTCTCAGGTCATTAACTTGTTCCTCAGCTTGTCTTAGTTGACTTACAAGATCATCCACATCTTCATTTCTATTTGGCTGACCTGTAATTTAAGAACACATATATTAACTGTGCAAGTTTAATTCAGTTTTTATGTGCAAATTACATAAAAGTCACATGGAAAAAAAAGGCAGGTAGATTTACTTTGTAATTTTTACAGTGTCAAATAAATTTCAATAGCAGCTGCCTCCAAAAATGTTTTGCATTTACAATGTGCTGAAAAGTAATGAACTAAAAAAGATTTTCTATGGATTTTTTCTATTCTAAATAAACACTTTCAGAAATATTGATATTCTTCACCTGCCTTGACTGGAGTGTTTCTGAAATCTTCTCAGATTAAGTCCAGTCAAAATAATAATCTATGTTTTGACATGGCTAAATCTGAGAATCTAAACATATCAGCTAAGCACAGTTAAATCCCTGCTCTACTAAAATCACTTTAAACTACTATTCTGTTGAAAACCTGAAACCTTTCCAAGTTTCAACTTGGAACACGCACACACACACGTATGTGTATGTGTGTGTGTGCACAAAGAACCCAACACAATTTCTCTACAGAAAACTAACAATTTAAGCAATATAAACATTGTAGCTATAAGTATTGCTACAGTAAAATAAATATAGATAGTGCTAAATATAAGTAATGCTACAACTATCTATCAGTGCTGTTACACAATGTGGAATAGAAACCTCACGCTTATCACAGGAAGAGGTGTTATTGACGACAGTGGCCTGAAAGCTCCCATATTAAATAAACACAACATAAATACACAACTGTACTGAAAGAACTTTAAAAAAAGAAACAGTAGTGCCATGGTAGAAAGGTTGCTGCTCAAAACACAAATGAAATCACCCAACACTCACCCTGGGTAACTTTGTGACTGCAATAAAAATAATGAAGGCTTATTCTTTAGTCTATTGTTTGAATTCTAAATGAGAATGAATTTTATTGAATCTGCATAGGGTAGTGTTTAAACTTTTCTTTATTTTCTCCTGAAAGGAAAAAAAAAAAAGAATTTCTTTTTACCTTTCCCTGGAACCCTCTGTGAAGACTGAGATGCTAATTGAGCCTCTGTATTATTAAGCTGCTGTTTCAAAATCGCTGTTTCTTTTTGGGCATTTTTCAGAATTTCCTTGGTGCTAACATGACGGTTTGTCTCAGTCTCAAGTTGCCTCTTCAGATCCAGGATATGAACCTGTTAAGATAATGTTTCTAGATTGTAACTATTCTCACAAAATACAAAGAGCCAGTATGTTTAGAAACTTCCCATATGACAAGTGCTGTGAACTCTTAAAAGCCATGCAACTGTTTTTAGTTTCTCTAAAATAAGTTTAAAATATTTATAAGTTCATTTACCTCTTGATTTTTGGTAAGGGCATGCCTTTGTTCCACCTCACTTTCTAGTTTCTTCTTCAGCTGAGATATCTCACGCTCCAGCTTCTCTATCTGATTATTGAGTCTTTGCTTTGTTTCTGTCTCAGACCTCTCTAATATTCCCTGATAAAAGAGCAAGAATAGATCATGTTTACAATACACTTCAATGATCTTCTGAAAGATTTTGATTACAACACTTCTTGCTCTATGCAGTAATTAGATTAAAAAAATAAAAACAAAAAGACCACTACAGAACACTCAATATATCTTAAAAACAAACAAAACAAGCAATGCACAGAGGAAAATAAATTACCAAGGCAGACAGTAGTAAATTTTATTTTTAAAAGTTAATGTAGAGGTTTTTTTCCCCCTTTCAATTTGTTTTATGCATTTTGTTTCCATTTGAATGTGAAAACCTTTCCCCTTGACTCAAAATTCTCAGGAACTTGCCATGTAAATAATAGATAATAATAATTCAGGATAAGAATGACCAGCTTGTTTACCAAGTTCAATTTGTAACAGAACTTTGAAAAACAACTCTTCTGTAAGACTCAATCCACTCACTGTTGAAGTCAATTGCAAGAGGTACTGAGTGCAAGACAGGCAGGTATAAACCACCACATACCTGAATCGTTCGCAAATTAGTAAGCAGTAAATTCTGCCCTCTTTGTTCAACTAGCAGAGAGTCACGTTGCTGAGTCAAGCGCACGTCTGACATCTTCAAGATATCCTTCTCTTTTTTCAAGTTTTCTGCTCTCACCTTTAACACAGAAGACAGCAAATAACTGTTTGAATCCGTAATTTCTGCATTCATTTTAATTTGGCAAATCTTTCTCACTTCTATGATCACTTAGCACTCCTATTAATAATAATAATAAAACTATTGATTTAAGGTTACAGAATTATAAAAACCTATTTTATGCCAGACAGCAAATAATCATTTGAATCCGTAATTCGTGCATTCATTTCAATTTGGCCCAATCTTTCTCACTTTTATGATCACTTAGCACTCCTATCAATAATAATAATAAAACTATTGATTTAAGGTTACAGAATTATAAAAATCAGTTTTATGCAAATAAGTGCCAAACTAAAACAGCATATCTGTTTGATTAAATCATTCTATTTTTCTTCAAATCTGGACATTGCAACAACAATCCCAAGATGTTTCATCTTCCCTCAATACTTCATGTATATAATGCATTCATTTGTAATATTTCACAAACATATCTCAACACACATCATACAAGCTGTGAAGGATTAACAGCCAAAAAAAGTTCTGACAGCTGTGATGATAATCATAAAACACCTCTTGTAGTGATCTGGAGTACCTGGGAGTATAATATGTCACATTACTCACTTCTGCCACTGCCAGTTTTTCATTAGCTCCCCTCAGGTCTTGAGTCATGGTGTTAATTATTGTCTCTTCCTTCTGAGTTGTAGCCGTGAGTTTCTGGTTTCTCTCATGCAAAGATGTTATTTCTCGACGATACCCTTCAACGTTATCCTGAAGCATTTCGTAACTTCACGTGAAACAACAAAACAAAGCATAAATTCCTCAAATTATTTGAATGTAATTATAGGAGGTATATTCACAGAGCTCTATTTTTCATGCTCGTGCATGCCAATTTTCAGGTAGGCTTCTATGGGGCTCATGCAACTAGATAGTACTGTACATTCTTGATCCCACCCTTCAGCACTTTTGGCTTTTAGCTCAATAGATAATACTACTGCTTTATGGCAATTCTTCCTCAGCAAAATGTTATTTAATACAAAGCATGCAACATGATTCTACTGACAACGTCTAGACAAATATGGAAATGCAATTAAACAGCTACTTTACCGTTTGGAGGCAAACTCCAGCTGTGTGGATATCTTTGCATTTTGTGACCTTAAGTCTGTGACTTGCTCCTGAAGTTTCTCATTTTGTTCATTCAGTAACTTGTCATTCTCTGCCTTCTCTTTCTTGTAGTTCTCAAAAACTTCCTGTAACTACATCAAAGAAGAGACAAAAATAAAAAGAAACCAAATAAAAAGAAACAACAATAACTTTTGCAGTGTTTACAGGAAAATGTACCTGTTTAAGAGCTGCCTTTGCCTCCAGAGTCTCCACTGACTCATTCATTGATACTTGAGCAGGAGTTGACATGGCTTGAGGTATAGTCGAACGTTTTGGAGTAGATGTAAGAGACATCTCCTCTGCTAATATTCCTGAAGCTAAATAAAGTTTAGAGGATTTTAAGGACAACTAAAATAACATTTGCAAAAGCAGAAGATCATATAACCATATTTAAGTGCGTTAAAAATAGCACCATTGTTTGGAAAATCTTGGGCGCTCCTAAGTTATAAACTGTCCATTTTTCAAGCAAGTACCAGAACAAACAAACAAAAAAGCATAACCCTATACAGGTTAGCAGAACACGTGGTACACACATGGTAGCTTATTATACTATAAACCAGAACCATGTACCTAAAACCAAATATACAGATTTTCCAGTGATGAAGGGTAAATAACAAACACTGTATTAAGAGAGGTTACTAGCACCATTTGAGCATCATTTCTGAAAGCCTGTAACTATGACAACGTTACCTTTTGGACAGTGCAGCAATGTAAGGCCTACCTTGCAAAGGAATGATAGCTCCCGTGGTCTGTGCCAGCAGGATGCGGTACATGTCACGCTGACGAACCACAGACTCCACCAGCTGCAGGTGGTGATGACGCGACTCACGCAGCTTCTCCAGCTCGTCCAGGGCTTTATCGAGCTGGCTCTGAAGGTCAGAAATTCTGAAACCAAGAGCAGTTGCTTTGGTAACTTACACTAAGTGCACCATAGCAACAAGCCTTTTGCTTTGTATTTCAGTTGACATTTATTTCATATTTGAGAGTTAAGCATCACTGAGATGGACATTTTATTCTGTAGATGACAATCAAAGATGGCCTCTTCCATGAAAAGGAAAACAGATGTAATTTCCTTCACATAAGCAGTAGCAAAACCAGAATCGGCCTGAGAGCTTTAAAGGCAGAATGGAGTCTCTGCTGGAATTTATAGCTAGTGAATCAGATATGTGTATATTCAGTATTCTCCTCAGCTAACAGCCATTAGAAGTTAAGGAATCACCTTCACTAAAAGACTGACATTTCACTGAATGTCCAATTTTATTGTACTGTTAGAAAAGGCCTGAATTCTAGTGTATATTTTCATACTGCTGTGCATTTATGGATTAAGTTTTTAGGAATTTTTAGAAGAATACATTTTTTTACATTAGCTAAATTTAAAGTGATGAAAAGGAACGACAACGTAAAACTACGCAGGGTCTTAACCTGAGACTAAGACAATGCTTAGTAACAATTTTCCTGGATATAAACTGCATATCTGCTCATGGACATACACACACACAGACGTACACACAATTAATAACAATAAAACAAACAAACTAAAGAGTTCACTAGTGTGAACTCTATCAGAGGGAACAGAGGTTACCTTGATGATGTTGTTTCTTGCTCCTCCTTTTCCCTGGCCTCTCCTAGCTCCCGAAGAGCCACCAAGAGACGCTGATTCTGTTGTTGAAGCTCTTCAATATTTCTGTAAGAGACTAGATGTCGAGATATTACTTCAGAAGAGCTACTGATGTCAGCAGAAGTCACTTCTTCATCACGAATCACGTGATTGCCTCTAGCTTCTTCAATTTCCATTAAGAGTACACGAATCTGAAAGACAATATTCTAGTGTAAGAAATGCATATAGCTTTCAGTTAACTGTAAAAGATAAAGCATAATAAAAGAAAAATAGTTGAAGTTTCCCCCCTGCCCCTCAAATAAATAAATCAATATTCATCAATAAATCCATGTAAGATAACTATACTGTAAAGAAAAGAGTTTAAGGGAAACCATGTCAAAACTGATAGCAGTTACTCTTGGTTTTCAGTTCTGTGAAGAAATTAAAGCACATTCCAATTGGGCAAACACCAAGCAAGCTGTATTTCGGTGTCCCAAGAAAAAACTTGAACCATCATAAACAGCATATCAAGCTAAACTTATTCTAATTTCATAAGCAGACATGTGAAAAAGCACATTGTCCCAAAGACACGCTTTTAATATGAAACCGTGTTCTTGGGACAATCAACATCTATCTGAATGGCTAAGTACATCTTCCAAGTAAACAAGAAAAAGGCAACACTATATTAACAAGTCGTAAATAGTATATTTAAAAAAAAATAACATTTACCCTACCTGCTGTGAGAAGTCTTTTACTTGTATTTCCAGTCTCTGGTTTTCTCTTTCAAGCACAGAGGCATGCTTATTGGCTACATCAGCATCCTCCTGTAATCGCTGGATTTCCTTCAAGTATACAAAACATTAAGAAATACTTGATTAAGACACATTTCTTCCCAAAGAGATGAAGTCAAACAAGGCCTGGTGAACTGAACTGCACAATAGCTCTAACTTTAATTATCTACATATTTACTTCTTGAAGACCGACCATTAATTCTCTTTCTTCAATTAAAATGAACTCCAAAGCTTTATTAATTTAAATTACACAGAGGTTAAACTCTGCATATTTTAGAATCAAAATTTATTATCTTTAATGCTATATTAGTGTTCAGTGTCCATACTTCTTTTAAAAAAAAAGCAGAAATTGGGCACAGTCTAATTTTATTTCTTTGGTTAGATGGAAAAAATCTTTATTTATATAAAGAATTCTGATAGTTACTGCATTTAAGCCTTTAATGTAATGTAATGTGATCTTTGAAAAACACACTGCCCAAAATACTATGTACAGTCTACAAATCTCAAGCTAGGAAGTTCAACAAACATTTCTCCAGAGTAACAGTTGACTAGAAGATACAGTTTATACATTTACTAATAATACACTGGATTAAGCAATTAAAATCCATTACTTCCATATCCTTTACAAGCTGTAAACTTTACTCTTTCTTTTATACTGACCTTCATAGCTTGTTCAAGCTTTGCAGACAGACTAGCAACAGCCTTCTGGGAGCGCTCAAACTCTTCACGCTGCCGTTTTAGGATTGGTGCTTTGGCTTCCACTTCCTGCACTATTTCATCCAAATATTTATTAATTCTCTTATTCTCCAGCTTTTCCAAAAGCAACTGATCCTGAGTTTCTACATATGCATTGTACAGCTGCAATGAAAAGAGAATGGAAGAAGTCTGTCCAGATGTACCAAAGAATTGCCATTGATTAGACAAGTGTAATTTTATACAACTCCAAAAAAATTAAAGAAAAAAGTACTTAAAAAAAAAGTTTGCTCAGGACTCAGACAATGGCAAAGCAGCTATACCTAATACCTTAGAAACTGCAATCATTTACAGTGCGATTGCAATAAAAGGCCTCTATGTAACAAGAGCAAGTCTTATACAAATTTAAAATGAGGTATCAAGATTACTAAATAATTAAAAAGCAACAGTTGCTTGAACAGAAGAACCAAAAACAAGCAAAAAGAATATACTTGACCATTGTACAGAAGTGTAAAAAAAATCCCTAAATATATGTATGACTTATTACATTCTTTTTTTTTCCTGAAAGCATAAGACACAGAAAAATGTTTCTTTAAAAAAAAACAACAAAAAAACATAAATAAAACACAGTCCACGGGAAAAAAGAACAATAGTTTTGATATTATATTGAAGAAAACTGTAAGATATATTGCACAAAATGCCAGTAATTCAATAGTTCATCTAATAAAATCTGCCTCAAGCACATGAGAAGATTTTGACTTCCTCAATTACTGTAATAAATGCCAGAAAATGAATAAATCTTTATTCTCATATTATTAATGAAGTAACAAGTCTTGCTGCTGGCTTTTCAGAGACCTTGACTCTTGAAGATTGTCTCACCTCAGTTAATTTCATTCCAGGTTTAACTACTTTGGCAACTGCTGCAGCAGTAGGAGACATAGCTGCTAGTTCCTCCTCAGACAGGATGGCACCTAAAGACATAATCCCACCAAATACAATTAAAAAGTTGCTGCAATTCTCACAAATATTAAGAAATATTTGTTACAGAAGCAAATATTTGATGATAAAATAAGGTGCAAATCTTCTTATACCTTTGTACTATTATATATTATACTTCAATACCATATATTCTCAATTCTTTAATCAATTGAATTTGAAATTATGGAAATTATCACTGATAGATTTTTAAAAGACAGATTATTCCAAAATACAAATCACTGATATAGCAAAAACAAAGCAAAAAGCAAAAGAGCAAAGTTTAGTATCAGATTTCTTAGCAAACTCTGCTGGAGTTTCAGTGGCAGAGTATTCGTTCACTTTCATTAAATAAACATACAGAGGTAGTAAGTATAGTTAGTGCTTCTCCGTTCCTTCACTATATCCTCGTGCCTGCATATATTAGCTCTATATATTAAACAGCAGTTTTTTTTTCCCAAAAGACACAAAAAATTTCATACCAACAGAACTGAACCAGTGAGTGTTGATAAGACTTAGTGTCAAAACATAAATTTAAGGACAGAGGTGTTTTGTTTTTTTTTTTTTTTAAAAGACAGACAGAATGTAACAATATTCCTAAACAATATTCCGATCTTCACAACCCTCTCAATAATAAATAAACAAATGCAGGGCGATTCAGCCTCAAGGAAACACCTCTCTCTCTTTTCTTAATGCACGACTAGTTTCTTAATGCACGACCAGAAAATGCACTTAATTCATTTGGAAATTCTAGCACAGACACATTGTGAGAGCCTGTGGCTTCACGTACTTAAGTTCCTAACGTTACCCCTACCTTTTCGTTTTGTAGCAGACAGCAAGTCGTTAGCATTCTCCAGCTCTTTTTCCAGCTTACTGATCTTTTCTTTCAGTTCTTTTTCCATGGCAGCTTTAGACTCTTCCACTTCAGCCAAATGCTCCTGTGTCGCTTTATTAGCTAAAATTAAATCATAATAAAGTTTGTATTTGCTTTTCTTTAGAAAGGCCGAAGTTTGCAAAAACACCTTACATTTTGCTTTAATTTCAGCAGAAGCATGAAGAGTTTCTCTTTTGCTTAGAAAAAGGCTAAAAATATCAACTCCCCTTTCCTGAATGAAAATAAATTGAAAGGAAGAAACTCAAGAGACATCTTTGCAAAATTAGGTCTTCCCACCAAAACCCAAAGTAAAATCCCCAAGTATGTTTGAAGATTCCCTGCCAACCTCGCCAAATAAATTCAAATAGTTAGGTAAAATTTCTGTTATATCTGATGCATCCTCCACCTACCTCCCCAAACTAACATTTTCTCTTCCTAAACATCCCCATAATTACTTTTCAAGATGATAACATTATTTCCAAGGAACACGAACTAACAGTTCTTCTACATTTGCCATTTCTCTCACACAACTCACCTTCACCTGCTTCTTTCAGGAGTTTGTGCAATTCTTCTACTGCTCCTGTCAGTTCATTACTCTTCGCCTCGGAATCATCAGCAGCACTCTAAATACAGGCATTTTATTTAACATTTTATTACATCGTGATGTATAAATAAATATATTTTTACTAGAAAGCCTGAAGTGGGTTATTGTAGAAAATTCACCAAAAACAGGCAATGCTGTTTGCACTTTAATTCTCACTTAGATCCAAAGTGTCAGACATTCATTTGATAGGACAAGGCCAACTAACATGTATGTTTGTATTCCCTTTAGCTGTTTTATAGTGAATGCTGTTTTTTTTCTACAACACAAAAAATAGTTTGGAGAAAGTGAAATATTCAGTTTTGCTCATTCTTAAAAATCCTATTTTTAGGGAATCCTATAGAAACTCTAACTGTTTGCTCACAGTTAAAAGAGCTCACAGGTGCAAGACTGTACAGTACCTATTTCTGCAAGTTTATGTGAGAAAACAAATGAACAAATCAGAGACAACACAAGCAAAGTTGACTGCACTTCTGCAAATTAGTGAAGTTCAGGAAAAGCTCTAGTGGAGTTGTACTCAATTCTTTCAAGATTTTGTATCAGCAGTTAAAGGCAGATAGTGAACTGTATGCTAGGCAAAGGACAAACCTTTAAACCCCTTCAAACCAATGCTTAACTGAAGCAACTTCTCCTGACATTTATCCTAGGAAACATGAATGCAGAATTAAAAGATTCTACCTCACATAATTCTAGGTGAGTGTAATATATACATATAAACTAAAGACTATCCAATCCTCTTTTTTAGCAGATTTGGTCCTAGTAAACTAGAGCAGAAGGTTTTCACTCCCTGGGCTGAAAAAGTAATAAGTAACAAGAATTTTTTCCAATTATGCTCATCTCAGGTGACACACGACATTGAATCACTTCTCAGATCAGTGACCTTTGCAGTGTTCATTTCAATACTTGGTCATATCAGTTACCCCTTACGAAGACACAAAAACAATTAAATCCGAGATTCATATCCTAGAATAATACAGCATACGCTGATCATTAAACTTACCTTATACAAGTTGGATAATTTAATGTGGGCGTTCAGTTCATTGTGGAACCTTTCCTCCATACTAGCTTGCTGTTCTTTTGCCTGCGGAATTAAAGAGGAGGTGGGATAGGGAAACATTTGGTTATTACCATTTCACACTTTTGTTTTATTGTAGAAGCAACAGAGTAACTGTAATTCTCTCATACACAGGCTCCACGTTATCTTACCTCCTTCAATTTACTCAAAAGGTCTTCCACACGTTTCTGAAGATTTTCATTTGATTGTTTTAAGCTGTTTACCTGTTCTTCCATTCTGGAAACCTGTTCAAATAATAAACAAGAGTAACATGTATAAATCTGTCTACAGAATTCACAACTTTGGGAAATAGATATCTCACTGTTTTCTACCTTAAAAAAAAAAAAACAACAAAACACAAACAGCATAAAAGACTACATTTCTATTGTTCTTTGCTCCCATGCATACAACTAAATTGAACAAAGAGATTCCCCAAATAGTTCAAATTATGTATATTCAAATAACGGCTCTCACTGGGAGCTCTCAAATGAGGAGACCATTCAAACAGTTGTAAAAACAACCACTGAGGTACCTAAACAGAAGCTCACTGAAGCTCAGTGTTTTCAAAATATGGCCATTGATTCTGCCATGCATTTTTTCTGCAGGAAAATAAAAATACCATCACCCGTAAAATCTAAAGACTGCTAAATCAGACTCTGTTGCTCCTTCCCTATTAAGAAAGTTATTTCTGTACATTTTAACAGCATTTTACCATTATAACCTTGGGTTATCAGCGACTCAAAGTTTTTTAGTTTTTAGGTTATAATTAAAATGAGATATAAATTTTCATACATCCTATTTATCATTTTTTTTTATTTTATAATGGTAACTCTTTTAATAGTAACTATATGTATTCCTTGCAAATCACAAGCGAAAAGAAAGCACAATTCCTTAGTATTTGCAAAACACACAGGGATTTTTTCCTTTAAATTAAGCTGAACATTATAGTAATTGTATTAATTCAATTAACTATTCAATTAACCATGCGGTATTTTTTCATATGAAATAGTGTCAGCACTCAGGAATTCCATTACCTCCTCTTTCTTGTTCTCCAAATTACATTTAAGCTCCAAGATCTCATTGCCTTTTTCTCTGGCAGTATGTAGAAGTTCATCTGTTTTGGCTTTCAACTCCGTGTTCAGCCAAGTGTTTTGATTCTGTAGTAGATCTTTTTCCTGTTCCAACCTTTTTTCACGATACTAAAAATAAATTTGCACTATTAATTGTATCCATTCCATAGAAAATAATCTAAGTAACCATGCTCAAACTAGAAGTGAAATTACTATAATTTGCAAAAGAGCACCAAATGACAGCTAGTGCTCCTTAGTATGCTTGTAATACAAAGTTATTTGTTTCAAGCTACAAAATGCTTCCTGACACATTAGATTCCTCAATACCTTTATGTATTTTTCACAATAGAATGGCACATGAAGATTTTCTTCTAGCCAAAGAATATACATTAAATGATCAGACCATTTCCTTTCTCCTCCCTTTACACTTCTTTATGGAGTTTACTCTGACAGCAAGTGGTGCACATTCAGAAATGAAGTTTACTCTCCTTTCTACCTGCCTTTGCCAACTTACAGCCCTTTGTCCTAGTGAGTATCAGCTACTATTGCCACTGCTGAGGCTTGGGCATGCTTGCACAAGCTGATGTGTTCTAAATACTAGCTCCAAATATTGCCGATTGTATATATTTCTCTGACTTCTAAACATTGCCATCAGTTTTATAAGACCTTTTGTCATAAATAACAAGATGACCATTTAAGTGGTTTGACCTACTTTAAAGTTACTAATGACAAAATGATGATTACATCATCTGTAAATGATTAGTTTTGAGGGCCTCATCATGTTAACAAGCACAACAGATATAAAACACTACTCACCTTCACAGAAACATCTGATGTCTGAAGTTCATCTAACTTCAACTGAAGTTTCACCTTTTCTGTGTTTGCTTCTGTAAGTTTTTCATTTAAACGTTTAACATCCTCTGGGGAAAGCAGGAGAGATACCAGTATAAACAAACCAATAGTAAAACTATAAATTTTACCTATTCGTTAGATTTAACTAATAATGTAAAGAATGAATATATAAGATGCAAATATTGACAGTTTTTGTATAATTTTCTGTCTACAAAGCCAAGCACCGTTTATCAAAACACGGCATTTTATGACTTGCACGTAACTTTCTACCTATTTCTCTTTCCTAAACTACATCCTTTTTCTGCTAGTCCATTGCTAGGAGTTGCCTACACAAACCAGATACTGCATAACAAACCTAGCTCTTCAAGATCTTTTGTTTAATGTAGGGCTGTGAAGTTTTTTGATAATGTATTCTTGACCCTACCGTTTAAATGTTCAACTTCCTGAGATCGTCTTTCGCTTGTTCGAACCAGATCCCTCTTCTCAGCTTCCAGTTCTTCTTTTTCTCTACTTAGATGGCTCTGAAAAAATTGCAGAAAACCAATGAAGGAATGCAACTCTTTGGCAGTTTACAGCCATCATTTACATTTATCATTACAGAAACATACGTTAACTAACAGCAGGCTATCCCAGCCAAATACAGCAGCTGAAAACTGATTCAACAGTGGCAAACTGAATCAGCCTGAACTACACAGTATAAAAGTGTAGCTGCTTTCACTGTTTCCATTACATTAGAATACACAATTCAAATACACCACTTCCAGTGTCTTCCAGTTTCCCTGCCCAAAGCTTTCAGTGAGTTTGAACTTTCTTTTCACACTCTGAAACTCCAGTTAGACCCCTGTAAGCCTCTCTGGGGAAACATCAGATGCATTTTCTACTTGTGGACAAATCAATCTAATAGTATTTTCTCTTCCTGCTCCAGAATTCTGCTGGATTGGTCAGCCAAAGTGACTTTTGGTCCTAATGCATGGAAAAATGTGTCAGTGCAGGAAAGGACAGGAAAAAGAGATCTCCTCTTTAATCTACAGCCTAACATTGGATCAACTGCATTATAAAGCACAACTTTGATCGTTTGATTCAAGAGTCAGTTTGCAAACAGCCTACTCAAACGGAAATAACAATATAGGTGTTGCCATAAGCTTTGATCGTTTAAGAGTCAGTTTAAGTAATTTTGCAAACAGCCTACTCAAATGGAAATAACAATATAGGTGTTGCCATAAGTATACCTATAATTCAACTTGTTAAAAGTAAATTTCATCCCAAAACGGGCAACCTTCCTGAACAAACACAACTGAATTTGCACTCATGTAGTTGGGAAGGCTAGTGGGGAATTTCTTTTTATTCTTTGGCACAATCAGACAGGTTAACCGGTATTTAAACTTACAGCCTACTTCTCCAGTACCTGTATGGCTGTGTTTCTGTCCTGAGCAGCTTCAAGTTCTTTATTTTTCTCATTCACAGACTTCAACTGGTCATCTATTGAATGAAAAAAAATAATAGTGAGGTAGCTCCATTTTAAATAGCAGTATTCTCCAGACCCAATCAAGTTGTTTCCATCATCAACACTGAAAACAGAGGGAAGAATTCAAGACTGCACTAAACAAAAACCCAATAAATGGACTGGGTGGTTTGAGGAGTATTCTAGCAAACTAAAGCAGTCATTGAGAGCAGATGTGTTTATTGTCAATAAACCAATGCATAGCATTACCTTAATATTATTCCAAACAAATACAAGTCTCATGTTTTTTTTTCCATTAAACAGAAATAAAAAACCCATAAACTTTGAATGAAAAAAACCAAAACCTTACTTTATTTGCACAAATAACAAGTGTTACTCATGAATTGATTTAAAATTTCTGCTTCAAGCTTTAAGCACTTCAATAAAACATTGGATTACAAAATAAAAAACCTGTCTGATCTTAAGAACGTGCATTTATACTTACTAAGTTTTTTAAGCTCCTCACGAAGAGTTTGACATTCTTGTGTCTCATTTACAAGCCTCTCCTCACTCTGAGCCAGGCGCTTTTCTACTTCAAAGTATTGTTGTTCTGCAAAACAACACTCCGTCAATTCTGCTTATAAACACCTTCCCTCATCTCTCACGAGAAATGACAAAGAATTCTACTCATTGGCAACTACATTAAAGAACAGCACGTACCAAGAAAATATAATAGTAATACTACCTAAAGAATAAATTCTGTGTTTTTGGAAACCAAAAAGAGATATTTCTACATTGGAGGCACATTACTTTAAATGCTTTGTTAGACCTAAAAGAAACGTATTTTTACGAGCATGTACTGTAATATGAAAACCTAACCAATTCTTATACTTGATGCTTCTGATTTAGCTCAAATCAGTTCTATTAGCACAGTCAAACAGTGTGGGCTCGGTTACATCAACCTAACATTTCTTGTAGAGTTATTTCCATTCAGACAGCCACGACTAAGTATGCCTAGGTGCTGTGAGATAAAATCTGGAAAGCATTTAGCAAACGCTTCTAAAGCACGACTCGTACAGTTTGATATACCACAAAGAAGGAGTAAATGTTATGGAGGTGAAAGGTAAAGCATTAAATAAAACCGGACCTGAGCTGCCTATGAGGCACACGAGACTTCTAAAAAATCCCTGAGGAATTTCCACGTATTTTCACGCTTCCTAATAGCATCTCTCAGCTCCAAACACCGCTTGCACTTGAGAAGCAGGCGCTCAAAAGAGCGGGATCCAATTAATTCCACAAACCGCCGCCCAAACCAAGGCCCCCCGCGGGCTCCCCCCCGCGCGCCGCGGCACTCACCGCTGTCCACCTTGAAGCGCTCGTGGCGGGCGCGGAGCCCGTCGATCTCGCTCTGCTGGTCGCCCAGGAAGCGCTCGAGCTTGGCCTGCACGGCGCGGGGCAGCTTGCCCAGCTCGCCGCGCTCCAGCACCTGCTGCAGCACCGCCGCCATCT